ATATATATATATGACAATGTCAGACCACGGAGGAAAAATGAAACAAGAATTTCCTTAAGTACTTTCGTATATTAAATACATCTTCAGAAGGTCCTTCTGAAGGTCCTTGACCTTCTGAAGATGTATTTAATATACGAAAGTACTTAAGGAAATTCCTGTTTCATTTTTCCTCCGTGGTCTGACATTGTCACATTCTTAATCACGTGTTTATTTTCGTGATACACACACACACACACACATATATATATATATATATATATATATATATATATAACTTCCGGGTACCCCTTTACTGCTAGATGAACAGATGCATTAGGTGAGAGAACATGTGCCCAACCCGTTCTGTCCCGCCCAGGAATCGAACTCGGCATTGTCAATTGTGAGTCGAGAGCCTAGCCACTGGACAGGTCCTTACTAAACATGGAGCCAGAAAAACGATCCTACAGTGCCAGTGTATTTATATCTTTTCTTCCTTTCACTGTCCTCGTGGGCATTTATCTGCTCAGTTCCCCATTGTCGGAGACAGGAAGCCTCTTAGGCTAACCAAGTTCCCTAAGGCCGACGACTGATCGACCTTCCCCAAGATGCAACCCACAACATTCAACTAACTCCCAGGAACCTCATTACTGTTGTGTGTGTATGAACAGCCATTTTCCCTGTTCGAGAAACGACGATCTTGGGTACAGTTGGTTGTGAACGCTTCAAGTTGAATTGTTGTAATTTGTTTTGCTCCGAGTACGTCTTCTGTGACCTTAGCAGGAGACCTGGGGCCAGATTCACTAAAGCACTTACGCAAGCACTTTTGTGTACGGACGTGTACATCTTTCCTCTATCTTTGACGGCTTTGGTTACATTTATTAAACAGTTTACAAGCATGAAAACTTCCCATTCAACTGTTGTTATTGTTATAAACAGCCTCCTGGTGCTTCGGAGCTCATTATCTGTTAAATAATTGGAAACAAAGCCGCCAAAGATCGAGAAAAGATGTATAGGTTCGTAAGTGCTTGCGTATGTGCTTTCGTGGATCTGGTCCCAGCTCTAAGGCCAGCCAGGTGACCTAGTGTCACTAGATGTATAGCGAGCGAGCGAGTATGTTTATGAAGTGTCTGTGTAAACAAAACAACAACAACAGTACACACAGAAATTATAATAGCGTGATATATCAAATAAACACATCCACAAGCGCCGTGATGAGGGTTCGAACCTACGTCCGGAATAATTCCGGACGTAGGCTCGGGACACTACTACTTCAGCAGTTTATATCCAGGATAGGCTACAGAGTGACGAGGAATACTGTGTACCAACTCGCCCATGTGGCGTCCGTTGCTAATTGATGGTAATTAACCGGTTGCCTGCTCCTGATCAGTCCTCAGGGCCTTTTAACTCATTAAAGCCCTTTTTAACAAAGCAGTTTAGGGACAATTATACTTAATATATCATCCCATGTGGCAGCAGGTCAGATATAAATAAATTATTTGTGGACTATTTCATCAGTGAATGTTGAACGTTGTTAAAGTTTGTATTAGTACTCCCGCAGCTAACATGACGCCCATTACCGGCATCCAGTTAATGAGGTTTACAAGCACCGGTATGAAAAAAGTTATTTATGGGAATGGACGCTTGAAATATACTTTTCCCTATACTGAGTATGTATAGGGGAACTACCGTGCGCTAGTCAGGTGCTTCTATGGTGGTGAAAGTTGGGACAACTCTAAATTCACACGAGAAAGTTGAAATACTAATTTTACCCCCAAATTGTAATAACAATTTAAACAAATAGTTGATTTGTCCAACTTATCGTTATGGCCACATTGTTATATACTTTTAGGTACCGTTGAGGGCACTAAATCTCTCTCTAGTGGCCTCGATGGGGATTGGAAGCCGGAGGCTTGTCAAAGGTTCCCTCATGTTTTTGAGGATTTATTCGAACTGGATTGTAATGACATATTACGGCTTCGGCGGATAGCCGCGAAGTACATAACCCCATTTGCCACCACTCTGGCCACCCTGGCCACACTGTTGTACCACCACCACCCTGACCACATTGTTGTACCACCACCACCCTGGCCACACTGTTGTACCACCACCACCCTGACCACACTGTTGTACCACCACCACCCTGACCACACTGTTGTACCACCACCACCCTGACCACACTGTTGTACCACCACCACCATGACCACACTGTTGTACCACCATGACCACACTGTTGTACCACCACCATGACCACACTGTTGTACCACCACCACCCTGACCACACTGTTGTACCACCACCCTGACCACACTGTTGTACCACCACCACCCTGACCACACTGTTGTACCACCACCCTGACCACACTGTTGTACCACCACCCTGACCACACTGTTGTACCACCACCCTGACCACACTGTTGTACCACCACCCTGACCACACTGTTGTACCACCACCCTGGCCACACTGTTGTACCACCACCACCCTGACCACACTGTTGTACCACCACCCTGACCACACTGTTGTACCACCACCATGACCACACTGTTGTACCACCACCACCATGACCACACTGTTGTACCACCACCCTGACCACATTGTTGTACCACCACCATGACCACACTGTTGTACCACCACCACCCTGACCACACTGTTGTACCACCACCCTGACCACACTGTTGTACCACCACCACCCTGGCCACACTGTTGTACCACCACCCTGACCAATGTAATAACACAGAGCCACTTACCAAGCCGTAATTACGGGGACGCGAGGTCTTACACTTTATGTCCCGCCCACTAGCCTGGTTGTGTCTGCTGCCTTTCACCTTAACTTTCATGACCTTACAATTCCTTCGGCGAACTTGGCCTTAAAGTTGTGGATGGGGGTGGCCTATTGAAGATCCTAATTTGGGTAAAGTGCGGCGTTATGTGAGGAGATTCGAATGCATTTAATTTAAATAAACAAATTTACTACAATCAATAATAAATAAATAAAACCTCGAAGGAAGGAAACAGGACTTTCCTAAGTACTTTCGTATATCATAATACATCTTCAGAAGGATGTATTATCTTTCTGAAGGAAATTCTTCTGAAGATGTATTATTAAATACGAGAGTACTTAAGGAAATTCCTGTTTCAATCCTTCCTTCGTGGTCTGACACTGTCCCATTTTCATCGCGTGTAATTTTCGTGATTTACATATATATAATATACACACAACAAGTGTTGTGTTAGTTGAGTCTTCAGAGGTTGTATGGCATTCCACCTTGACTTTGAAGTCAATTAACACAACACTTGTACCCCCTATTAGACTGTTTTACAGGAACTTCTTTTCGACGGTTCATAAAATGGAGGAAAGTGTCCTGAAAGATATTATTAATAGGAACGTTATCCCCACAGACAAAAAGCAGAAGATACAATTGACAATTTACTACAAAAACAAGAAAACTGCCAACCTACTCATGAAAATCTCTCAATATGCATATATATATATATATATATATATATATATATATATATATATATATATATATATATATATATATATATATATATATATATATATATATATATATATATATATATTAGTTCTGCACTTAAGGAACATGAATTATATTACTGACCCAGAGTAAAATTATATGTTGGCTGCTTTGATGATTTAACTGAGGATGCCTAAAAGTCTTTAATTCTTTGCAGGTGGCCAAGACTAAATCAAAATAAAGTAAAGACATAAGCATCATTATTGCTCAGGGTTTTCACCAGGTGTATTACAGTATACAGATTTCTTTTTCTTTTTCTTTTTTACACTGGTTGGTACAGGAGTAGAAGTCTGACTCCTGTTAGCAGGCTTACAGCTTTCCCTTCCCCATACCTTATGTTAAGTCTTACCTTACTAAGTTTTCCCCCTGAACATGACCCACCAATCAGTTTACAACCAGGTCCCCAATTACTGCTGGGTGAAAAAGAGCAAACAGTTAAGCAGTGGAGCACAGGCTCCACCCTTTGTGGTACGGGCTCGAACCCACATGAAATTACTGACAAGGCACGGAATGAGTATGCTACCAATATGTCACTAAGGACAGCAAGTTCTGACAAGTCTTCAGTTCAATTAAAGTACTGTACAATATAAGTTACTTGCATAAAAGATACTGTGGTTAAGAGTTTTGAAACGATGAATAGGAAACAGATTCTACGGCCTGAGAGCAAGAGAACATGAAGTCACAGGTATAAACTACAGAAACTGGTTTCAATATTACACTAAAGACATTTTCTCAAATATAATGGCTTTCCAATGTTGGAAACAGGAAGCCTGACAGGCTTATTGAGGTCCCCATAGAAGCCCAACCAATGACTGACCATCCCAAGAGATGACAGTCATCTAACTACTGAGTATCTATTTACTGCTGGGTGAACCGAGGTATTGCATGAAAGGAAACGTGTCCAAATGTACCTTTCATTTGTAAATCAACTGTACTACAGGACCCATAATGGTGTCTGGCTTGAATAAACTTTTAGAGAACATTGTACCAAAACCGTATGTGCTTCTGAAATACAGTACTATATGTACAGTATATAAAAGCAGAACCCCATGAGCATGAATCTCTTCCAGAAACTAAAATTAAGTAGTAAATCTACGTTTAATATGCATAAAAGTTGCCATGTAAAGCAGAAAAGAAAAACAAAAAGAACCCAAAGCAGTCAAACATTTGGGACCTTAACATGTTTTGGTAAATAATGAGTTACCCAACAACCAGAATGAGTATTACAAATATTTAAAGTACACTGAATGAATTTCATATATTTATTGCCAAACCACATCTAGATATTACTTTTGTTTAGTAAGATGATAGGCCACCCGATACTCAGATTTATATAAATTTTTAGTACAAATAATGAACCTATTAAAAACTAATTTTAATGTATGCAAATTTTACAGATAGATCTCAGAATCCCAAAAATACTGTACAGGTACATGGGTTTGCATTACTGCAGGCAACATGGACTGTACCTAGTAAGACACTAATAGTTTACTCTCTTCTCATTTTATTCTGAGTGCAATATAAACAGCTCACTTAAAACACAAAGGATACAAAATATGCAACAATAAAGCATTGCTTTTAATCTTTGAATAATTATTCTTACAAACTCTCACACTTATTAGTTATTTATATGATGGCCTCTTCCTGCTCACACCAAAGTTTGTGTTTGGGATTGTTTACAAACCTTTTAATGGTATGACACGTGAGACATGTCACCACCAAGTGCTTCTGTCGTTTTGATTTGTGTCGAACCTTAGCATTTACACCATACACTAATACCATTCCACATCCCTTACACAATGTTCGTTTAATCGCTGGTGCTAAGCGCATGACACAACGCCGACCAATGGCTGTTGCCAAGGCACCAGTCTGTGCTGCAAGTACATGGTTATCAGAAACAGAGGATGGGTTGGAGGTCCCAGTGTCCATGCTGGTCATTGCCCGTGATACTTGGATAAGGTAGTTGATGCGTTCCTGGTTTTCACCAGCTAAATTTTTTTTCTGTTTTTTAGTTTGTTGCAAAATTTGTTTCTCTTGCTGCAAAGTTGGACGGTTTTTCTGCTGTTCTTTTGCTTTGCATTGTTGCTGCTGCTTTGTATTTAACTGTTGCTGTGTATTTGACAGCTGCATACATTTATTTAACTTTGGCTGAAACTGTTCCTGTAACTGCAGCTTCTGCTGCTTGGCTGTTCGACACTGTGGCTCCATTGGTTGTTCGTGCTGTTTTAAACTCTGCTGCTGTTGCTCAGGTGGCTGTTTTGAATAATTTAGCTGTTGCTGTTGTGGAGATTGCTGGTGATGTTTAAATGAATGGTGGTGGTCTGCTATTTGGTGTTGCTGCCCTAGTAGGTGATGGTGGTTTGGTATTTGGGACTCCTGCTTCAGTGTCTGATGCTGCTGTTTTGGTGAGTGAGGCTGTTGTTCCAATGGTTGGTAATTCTGTTTTAATGAATGGCACCTTTCTTCTGGAGGTGTGAGCTCTTGTAATACTACCTGCTGCTGTTGTCCTTCTCCTAACTCAAATGGCTGGCACTGTGAGGATATATGATGCTGCAGTTCTAGATGTTGTTGTAATGACTGACACTGCTTTTCTGGTGGTTGGTGCTTTTGTTCTGATGGTTGCTGCTGCTGTTCTTGGGGCTGGTGCTGCTGCTGTTCTTGTGGCTGGTGCTGCTGCTGAGCCCGTGGCTGGTGCTGTTCCTGTGGCTGGTGCTGCTGCTCTTGTGGCTGGTGCTGCTGTTCCTGTGTCTGGTGCTGCTGCTCTTGTGGCTGGTGCTGCTGTTCCTGTGGCTGGTGCTGCTGTTCCTGTGGCTGGTGCTGCTGTTCCTGTGTCTGGTGCTGCTGCTCTTGTGGCTGGTGCTGCTGTTCCTGTGGCTGGTGCTGCTGTTTCTGTGGTTTTTGCTGCTGTGTTGGTGACTGTTGTTGTTCTTGTGGCTGATGCTGCATTTGAAGTATCTGGCACTGTTCTAATGGTTGATACTGTTCTTGTGGTTGGGCTTGTATCTTGTGCTGCTTTTCTAGTGAATAATCTTGCAGAATTAATGGTTGTTGGTGCTGAAGCTCTGGTGGTTCAGACTGACCAAATGATTGATGCTGTTCTGGTGGCTGCTCGTTCTGTTCTGGTGGCTGCTCGTTCTGTTCTGGTGGCTGCTCGTTCTGTTCTGGTGGCTGCTCGTTCTGTTCTGGTGGCTGCTTGTTCTGTTCTGGTGGCTGCTCGTTCTGTTCTGGTGGCTGCTTGTTCTGTTCTGGTGGCTGCTCGTTCTGTTCTGGTGGCTGCTCGTTCTGTTCTGGTGGCTGCTTGTTCTGTTCTGGTGGCTGCTTGTTCTGTTCTGGTGGCTTATGCTGCTGTTTTGTTAGCTGGTGTTGACAGTGGTCTAAATCCACATTTGTATAGTCATTTTCCCGTGTGATTTCTCCCATTCCACTTAGCTCGGCCATCTTTTACAGCTTGAATTTATGAATATAATTTCCTATATTTCAGCTGATTTCAGAATCCTGTGTTTTTCACTAGTAAGTATTTCTGCAAAGACAAAAATAATACTGTACTTTAAATTCTTGAAAATCACACATTAAATAAATATATATATATATATATATATATATATATATATATGCAGAATAACCACATGTGAAAAATAGAAAATGCTTAACGCGTTTTCGACTAATTTGCCTTTCCTCCACTTATTTTTGGTGGTCAGGTGATCTGCCCAGGCGGATATAAAGATCTGATTAGCAATCTTATCTTCATTCTACTTTGTTCTGATGAAGGCGAATTAGCCGAAAACGCGTTAAGGGGGCGTCTGGTTGGCATCTGGGTCCAAAAATGCAAAAATGAAAACTCATTCGATTTCAATCAAACTTTTTTGACAAGTTCTATATGAAAAGTGTTTCATCTGGTCCAACTTTCAGCATTGTAGCATAAATAGGAAGGGAGAAAAAAAATATTGAAGTAGTTGTGAAAATTATGCAAAAATGGTCAAAATCGATTATCAATCAAAAGTGTCAACTGAAATCATAAGTACAACTCTTTGCTATCACAATAGCATATATTAAACAAATATTATTATTAGTTTAATTGGAAAAAAACTTTAAGGAAAAAAAAAAAAAAGGATTTTTTTTTCTTTTTTTTTTTTTAAATATTTTTTTTTTTCATTTTTTTTGGGGCGATTTGCATCAAACTTACACCCCAGACTGTACGTAAGCCTATCTGTAAGGATGCCAATTTTGGAGAAAATTGGTTGATGTCAACCCCAGCCACAGATTTTAGAACCTTAGACTTTATTCATTTCTGTTTTTTTTTCAATTGACACAAACGTTTACAAAACTCATTCTTTTCTTATTCAATTTACATGAAACTTACACAGTATATGTGGAGGGCATGTCTCTACATTGGGGGGCTTTCATTTTCTCTAAGTTCATTTATTGATTTTATAATAGCAATAAACATGCCATATTTGCAAAAAATTTTTGGGGAACTTTGAACATTTGTATTAGGAAAACTAAAGATATTTTGGAAATTCTAAATCCCCAAATCCTTTATTATATGCTAATGTGTCAGAAAAGTGTCACAGAATAATTTTATCTGAAACGTGTGTTCTGAAGTGTGGTCTTGAAAATGTGTAAAAAACGTTCAAGAAAAAAAAAAAAAAAAAAAAACTCCCTTTCTATTTACGCTGCAGTACTGAAACTTGGGACAATTTAAGCACTTTTCATATACAACTAGAAAAATAATATTGGCTGACATTGAACAACTTTCATTATAATAACCAGACGCCCCCTTAAGCATTTTCTATTTTTCACATGTGGTTATTCTGCATACTTGGATCAGTGTTTTTGTGATCATTGTTGCATATATATATATATATATATATATATATATATATATATATATATATATATATATATATATATATATATATATATATATATATATGCAACAATGTATAATATATATATGCAGAGTTTTCAGTTATATATATATATATATATATATATATATATATATATATATATATATATATATATATATATATATATATATATATATATATATATATCATACAGTATTACTTAAAGAATATCTCACAAATTTGTTTTAAGTATTACAGTATCACAAAAAAATTATATAATTTCTTATATATATAATATGGTACTGCAAGATCTGATATTAATATTAATGTACAACATAATATAGTTTTAGATGGCTCCTCCTGTGACCAAGAATCGACATCGGACAACCCCATGTTCAGTGACTTGTTTTACAGAAACCACCAAGCATTATGCTGGTGGATACTGTATTAATGTGCCAGTACAGTTTGGTGTTGTTTTCAATTTACTGAATTTGGAGAAAGACAGTTTTGGTGGTTAAGAAGTAACATAAATAATTATAAAACCTACCTAACCATACAAACTTATGTCAACCCAATCTAACCTAACCTAATGATATATATGGTTTCGAAAATTAGAAAGCAAACTTTGTCAAAGTAACAGTACAGTTTGCATTACTCCAGGTAACCTGGATTGTACCTGGTAAGGTAAGACATTTATAGTTTACTCTCTTCTTTACCCCTTCCCTGGCAACAGTTTCTGACAAATTTACATTCTTTTCTGAAATGAACTTAGCTAGGTGCCTAAAGATCGAACATTTCTCTGAAAACAAAGTTCACGTAATATGGTTTAAATTCTTACAGAATGGTTGCTCATAAATAGGATGAGAGTTTTGTCTATTAACCTGCATTATCAATCTTTGGGTAGACCATGAGACTATCCTCTAATATCCATGAACAGATGGAATATTTACTTTACTCCAGGCATCTCATTTTATTTAGGCTAAAATTATTAATAAATGGACACTCACTAACAGAGTTGAATAGTGTCTTAGCTCTTGTTCCGTTTACAATTGGGGCTTTTAAGTTTTGCCTGGAAGGGCGAGTTTATTGGGCAGCGCCACTCATCCTGTGAGTGGACACACCGCCATAGCAGCATGTACAACATCCCCCAACAAGAAGAAAACCCGCTGAGTTGTTCATCCTGTCACTTGTACCCAGAAACAGCTGGGACTTGCTTAACTGTCTCAAGTGAGCAGCTTATCAATTGGAGTGTTCACAGGTTGGGAGGCTCATTACCTGCCATAAGTGACGATATCACAGACCAGTTCTGGTACATCTCTTACCTGCATCAGAAGGTATGAAGCTCGAATTCTGCTTTAAGGTAGGTCGTTTGTGTGAAGGTTTTCAGTTATATTTTCCGATGACTGCAAGAGTGGTGTTGAAAGATACGTCACTGTTGACAGTTAGGCAAGGCTTTAGTTTTTTTCTTTGAGTTATGATGATGTTTTTTAAAAGGTGAATTACAGTTAGACTTTATGGTAGCACTCCTTGACAGTGCATGCAGTTTGCATGAAAGCTTTTTCCTTCCGATGACTGCACGAGTACAAATGCCAAGAGACACAATGTTGAGAATGACAAGATTTCAAAAGTGTTTGTAGTGTTGTGGTGTAGATAGAGGAGCAGTGACTACATGGAGGTATGTGTTAGAGGAAGACTTGCCACACTGTAGGGCGGGGTGTTGTGTTTATGGCGTCAACTGATCCTTGGTGCTGCGGCCAGACAGTTGTTGTCTGTGTTTGGCTGTTTGTGGCGCCAGGTATAAATGTGTCGCGGGTCAAATGTGGGCCAATTTGTTGGTCGACTGGAGATATTTAGCCAGTGCTTTGACTATTTTATATTTTTCCTTGTAACGAGAGGTCACCTCTTAATATATGCTCGATGGTAAGAGGTATTTAAGTGCGGTAAGTACTTGTTTGTTGTTGTTAAGATTTAGTTACTCGGAACAAAACGTTTCAAGTAGCACCGACTATGGTGAGCCCATAGTGGACTTACCTGGGAATAGTAAATGAGGTAGTTTTCGATTGTTTTTGTCACATGAAAGTGGATGCAGTTGATGACTGCATGAACGAGTAAGCACCTCTTGATAGTAGGTGCAGTTTGCATGAAGGGTTTGTCCTCCCGATGACTGCACCTGTACAGATGTTGGTAGAGGCGTTTATGTTGAGTTTCAAAAGTGCTTGTTGTGTTGTGGTGTAGACAGAGGAGCGGCGACTAAAACAGAGGTGTATGTTAGAGGGAGACTTGGGTAAGGACTTACTAGCGGTGGCAGGGTGCACTGTTGTTGTTAATGGGAGGGGGGGGGGGACCACCAGAGAGGGATCGGATGTGTAAAAAACACTTGCTACTCAGTGACAAATTTCCGTTTTCTATGGATGGTTATAAGGGTAATTTCTAAATTTTGTGAAGCTTGGTTGTGATCTAATGATGTGTAGATCAGGAACCTTTAGCCAATGGTTTGACTACTTAATATTTTACATGTAATGAGAAGTTTCACTACATGATCGTTGAATGAAGACCCTCTTTTTTTTTATTCTATCTTCTAGTATTGGTATATTTAATGCCTATAACTTATAGCTTTGTCTTTCAGTTCTGGGTGCCATTTAGTTGTATGTCTTTGCTCCTTTCTCCAGTTTGTTGATATGCTCCAATCAAGGTATGGGCACCACACAACCGCTGCGTATTCCAGCTTTGGTCTCACAAAAGTCGTGAACAATTTCTTTAGTATTTAGATGGTATTTCACCATCCATGTATTCTTTCATTGTTAAGCGTAGCATAGGCTCCTCGCATAATGTAATTTATGTGATCCTCAGGTGACAGTTTTCTATCCAGAACCACCCCTAGAATTCTTACTTTATCACAATTTTTAAAAGCATTTTCACTTAATTTGTAGGTTGTGTGGGGTCTATTTTCTCCTATTTCACATTTCATAGCATGGCATTTTTTCACATTAAATTCCATTTACCAAGTGGTGCTCCATACACTTATTTTATCCAAGTCTTCTAGCAGAGTGTAGCGAGTTAATCTTATACTCGCTCCATTATCTCATTATCTTAATAGTATAACTAATTAGCACTAATTACAGATAAGCTACAATCCTTTCTCCAATTACAGGTAATGCTCTTCTCATCTTGTTGGAGGAAGCTGAGGTGTAATCACCATATAAGCAAGCGATTTGATGAATAGCGGACAGTACAATCTCCAGTCAAGAATGTATAGTACTTGGCGTAGGCAGTTCTAATTGACCCAAGACGCTACAGCTTCGACACAGAGCAGACAGCAGGGTTGCAAAATCTAAACTGCTGAAAGTAGCGAGCTGACAGTCTAAAAGTAGCGAATTTGTAATAAGAGTAGCCCAATATTTTTTTGAAAAATCTGAACTTGAAAAATTCGAAAATTTGGGAATTGAACAGAGAGGCTGTGAGTTAGGTTCTTTTAATTGCCTTATAAAATTTAATGAATTAAAAGGTTTTCGTGCCTTAACATCTTTATATTATGATAATCACGACATATCTGCATTAAAATCAGTGTGCAATTCCGGTTTTGGCCTCCACCGCCTTCTCACTTGTTCCCTTGTAACACTTATATGCTGTGCTTCCTATTTTAACCTGCTATGTTAAATGGGATTCTTGTATTGTGATTTGTGTATTTGTACTCACTGAATTTGTGCGCCCCTAGAGGGACTTGAAGTAGAAGGGGGGGGGGGGGTTGAAATAGCCTATAGCTACTCTATATCCCTTTGAGATGTATTTTTTTATTGTCTCAATAAACATACTTGAACTTGAAATGGACTTTAATGTTTTTTCGGCAGCTTTATTTCCTTAGTTTCCGAGCTGTTTTCTTTACCGTGTATGTTGTAATAAACTATTCCTATATTTACAGTTGTTTCTCCCTGTGAAGATTATTAAACAATGGTGATTATAAGGGCGCGGAAGTTCAGCCTGGCCAGGGCCGCCAGCAGCCCTTGGGCCCGCCCCGGCAGCTCCCAGTCTTTAATTTGGCACCTTTGTGGCACCTTTGTGGCACCTTGGTATAAGCCTAACATGTATATACACACACTGGCTGCCTGTCCCCCCTACACAATGATTTATTATTACCTATTATTTTATCATTTAATTTAAATATTAAATAAAATAATTTATTTAATTATTATAGTAAGTACTTAATAATTTAATAATAAGTAGTAAGTACATAAAAATAATTAAAAAGTACAGTTTAGTCATAGGAGATTCCTAGATTGGAATTCACTACCAAATTTCGATATATCCAAGTATTTTTAATGTGAAATGCTGTTATTATATGCATAAATTGTTGTTTTAATAATATTACGCTTAACCACTTGGGCTGGACGGTAGAGCGACGGTCTCGTTTCCTACAGGTCCGCGTTCAATCCCCGACCGCCCAAGAGGTTGGGCACCATTCCTTTCCCCCGTTCCATCCCAAATTCGTATCCTGATCCCTTCCGAGTGCTATATAGTCGTAATGGCTTGGCGCTTTCACTTGATAGTTCCCCCATCCCCTGAATAATATTACGAGAGCAGTATTTACGGGCTATTCATGCCCGTGCCACCTCTTGGGTGGCTTAATCTTCATCAATCGAGAGCAGTACGTCCTAACCAGACATTATATGATGATATCCTGAACAGTTGATAAATAAAAGTAATTGCGGAACTCGTTATCTAATACTTATCATAAATGGTATAAAAAAACCTTATCATAAGCCAAGGGATTTGTAGATCAGTGTTTAAAGGGAATTCGGAAGTAATAATAACACAGCTGATGCCATCTGTCGGCAGAAGAGAACACTATCAACTGGCTGGTCAACAGTGGCCATAAGATACAGCTTACGCCATCTGTTGACATCAAATTACACCTATAACAAATTACCCCACAAAATACAACTAACGCCATCTAGTTTTTTTCCAACGCACTATAAATAGCCAAACAGCAACCCATAAGGCGGGTTGTTGTGCTCGGGTAGGAGGTTCCAAGCTCCGCCCACAAGTGGTATGGGGTGCATAATAAATGGCATATCATTGGTAGATATTCTTTGTTGACATTCACACAACAGCCAATCACAGGAAGGGATCAGCTAAAGGCTCCATCCACTTAATAAATCATCTTTATTCAGCACACCATCCTTGCTTATGACATTCTGCTTCAACTTTAATCTACCTTAAAAGTGAAATGTTAAGTATTTAAAAGTATTAATATAGTGATAATTAAATACTGCAGGATGTAACGAGCGTTACAGAAACACGGGCTGGCTACCTGACTTGTGACGTCATCAGTGGGAGTTGCCTCACACAAATAATATCGGCGATACAATGACTCCGTCCTCTTATTGGTCTACATTATTCAGTTAGATGGAAATTTCTGTCTTGTATAAAACAGAAATTGTTGTTCTTTTGTACAACAACAAGGTTCAAATTCAAGTTCAAGTATGTTTCTTTCTAGGGTGTGTGCCTGGGAATACCTAGCGCATAGATTCGAATCCTCATCACGGCTCCTACGGTTTTTTTTTCTTCTGATAGGTAGTTTATGTAGACAATGAACATTACAAGTACAAGAACAGAAATACAGCATGTGATATTTATGTGATATAAAGTTCGTGACATTACTCCAGTCTGATACATTGTTTCTGATTACTTATCTCATTTTTGTCAGAAAATTGTTCATCCATGTTAAAAGTCTCTCCCTCACTCTCTCTCAAAAGTGTCTCTGCCACTCTTCTAGTATGTTCAGATTTCCAGAATAATCTCTTATGTGGATTTTTTTTTTAGCTCCAGATAAATGTAGTCAACCCAACCATCTCTCCTGTAAAATCTCTGGGGCTCTATCATGGAAACTAAGTACAGTACAGAGTAAATTCAATACAAATGATCAACCAGATCGAAAACCATACTGTCTGTCTGTTACTATTATATAATTTTTCTCCAGGTGTTCTACCCATTTAGTTTTAATTATTTTTTCCAACATTTTGCCTACTATACTTGCCAATGATCTATAATTAAAGAGGTCTTCCCTGCTTAGAACTTTGTTAGCCTTTTTCCATATATCTGCAGACTCCTGTACACAGGAATTCCTTAAAAAACAATTAAAGTGGAATCCATAGCTCGGGTGTGCATTGTCTCAGAACTAAAGATGAAACTCCAACTGGGCCAACTGTTTTGTTCTTACTTAGCCCCTTGAACTTTTTCCATTTCACTTCTAGACACCTTTATGTGCTCTATGTTGTTCTAAAACAACGAGAACACACACACATATATGTATGTGTGTGTGTTTTTATAACAGAAGTGACAAGTTCATCCATAACATTCCCATTCAGATGTGTCATATTTAATTTTACAATTGAAATCACCGAGGTTTACATAAATAATTGTTACTACAGAGTATTTATTAAAAAAAATCATTAAATTGTAATGAGCAGTATGATCTTTTATTATTACTATACTTTATTTTTGTCAAAACAATACAGTATTAAAATACAATGGTCTACTGTCTCTTATTTTCATATCTTTGGCACAAATAATAAACCTGCTCCCTTTTCCAGCATCTCCAAATTTGTGAATTTTTAAATAATCAAAGTTTTTCCATTAGCTTTCCAGGTCTAATGTATCATCTGCTATGACCACCAGATGACCTCCGTCATCCAATTTATGGATGCTGCCAAATGTAGTCTGACTCGCCTGAAACAAAAACATTTGTTAATAACAAGAAACAGAATATATTATCTAATATTATTGCTCTTGTTTTAAAATGCCTTGAAATAAAAATTAATTAAACGTGGGGTGTGGAAAATTTCCCATCTAGTTCTATTTAATTTTCCTAATTTCTGTTTACAGTAATAACATATACACCAGGAAGAGATATCTATAGGTGCTGTGTAAATTTACTAAAACTAAATTGTAGTCAAGATTCAATCTGATATATTTAATACATAGGTTATGGACAGCATTGGATATGACTAGCATAGGCTTACCTGCTGATCTTCAGAATAAGAGGTTCTACATGAAAGATCCTGATGAGGCTCTTGCTCCTGTACAATGATCTCCACAGATTCAGTGTCAAATGTGTGACCATGTTGACCCTCGGGCAGGAAGCTGGAGGTGGGAGATGGCTCTACATACTTAGCCATGGCCAGCTGCACATTCTCTGGCTGAAATATAAACGTAATAATGATATTATTACCTGATCAAAGGTGGAAATACTGTGTTGCTAATCAGGAAAGTAATGGTGGGATGGGATGTGAAAGGGGAGGGTGTAGATAGAGAGGATGTGGAAGGGGAGGAAGTGGATGGGAAAGATGTGACAGAGGTTGAGTGAGATACAGTATATAGTTGCAGAGAGTTCACCTGAGGGAGTCTGTGTGGTGTATGGGGAAAGTGAGACTAAAGTTCCTAGGTGTCATTTAGAATAAGCAACAGTCTGGACAATTGTTAAGAGATATCCTTTAATCTGGTAAGCATGGCCTTAAAGGACTGTATTTCTTCCCATTTATTTGTTAAATAAACCTTGGATCTATTGAACCCATAAGAAACTACAGGACCTCAGGGAAATTCTTAGGACCTCTCCTATCTCTCATATATATATCAATGAGTTGCAAGTATATCAATGACTTGCAACTATAAATGTGGAATAGACAATAAATAATTCGGCATCAAAGAGAAGAAAAGGACATTCAATACAAAATTAGTACATAAAAATAAACATATAAATCAGTTAAATTTACTTTCATCTTTTAATTAATTCTTGAAGTCTTATATAGCTGTAAATGAATTGTTAAGAATCAAAGTGTGACAAAGGAATATGCAGGAAGGACTGAAAATTATCTCCCATGGTGAAACGAATATGCTTTTACAATAATAGAATAAAAGAAAGTCACTGACAATAATAATACAGCTGTATCCAGTTAATATGTTTAAAATTAAACTCAAATGATATATTATTACAATATAAAGGTATCCAGGATTCATTACCTTACATATTGGCACAGAATTTTGATCACATTGCAAGAGTTTGTTGACCCCACATGCTTTACACTGTTCAATCTGAAAAATAAAGGTATTGCTTCATACAGTCATGCATTTCTGTGTTATATAAATTAAAAATTCATAATAAATAGGTTACCGTCCTCCTAATGGAGCATTACATTTTCACGTATACTCTACCTAAGGCCAAAAATCGCTGTACTACAAAATGGTAATGGCTCACAAAATTAAAATACTGTCCTGTTTTCTGTTTTGGGTCCTCATGTAGGTTAGGATAAGGGCTTTTTAGTACGACAGTTTCTTGACGTTGGGAAACCTTAGGAGGACAAGTACTTGTCAACCTGTGCTTAGTGGCAAGATGGATCTTCTCAAATGGTCTTGTTACCTATCTGGGAAAGAAAGACTGGGGAGATAAAGTTCAATCACCAAAAACAGCACCTATTATGACACTAAAGAACAGAATCAAAATAATCAGCACCCTCTTGAAAAAAAAAATTATAACCAAAGATATCCAGTTATTTCTCTGTTAACAGTCGCTCAGGAGGTAAGCGGCAATGGCTTCCCGCACCTCATGCGGCGGGATGCGGGAGGCCGAAAACCTCCAGAAGGGACCGAAGTACCCAAGGGAACCCTGAACCGAACCCGGGGAGGAGTTACCACCATATCAAACTCGCACAAGGAGGGGGGGATAAGAAAACCCCACCCCCTGCAACATCAAGCCCTGCTCAGAGGGTACCAAAACCCAAGCGGGGTCAAGGGCCCAAGCTCCCCAAGTCAGCCCCTCGCCAGCCCCGGGAACCTCCACCCCAGGACCAGGGGCTGAGCCATCCTCCAAACCCTCCACCTCAAAAGAAAAGGCAGAGGCCACCGAAAAAAGCTGGAACGATGGGGAGCCCACTGGTCAGACCCAGAAGCACCGGCTGGAGGAACAGGCTTGAATGCCTCCATCGCCACCCCAGATGGGGCATCCCCCGAAACTGCCAGTCTCTCACCACCAACTAAACCCTACCTATTGCACTGTGTGAAATGTCGACCACCTCTAATTATGAATGATCATGTTTATGAAAACAGCACGACTGTCTAAGGGAGCAGCTGAGAGATATAGTTCAGAAGTAGACATTTTATCTAATTAAATCAATTTTATAATTTAAATCACATATTCACGATACCTTAACAAAGACATCTTCAGTTATGCCAGTCCAGTAATATTTCTCTACAAGACGTCGCAGAGTTTCAGTTCGATCTGAAAACAATTGTGGTTAATAAATGTAATTGATGACACATTTGATGAACCTAATACAGTTATCAGAATATTAAAACTATTTTAATCATCAAGTCATTAAACATTTAATACCAAACTGTACTGTTAATTTAGCATCAATACTTTGAAGAAGCATTAGTCACTTATTGAGCTAGTTATTCTGTCACTCACAAAGGTAGTGTATATTTAAATTGCATGTCTAGAAGATACAGCATATGACTTTATTTATGCACAATGACAATTGGCATTGGCACCCTAAGGACTTGTGCATCTATGCATGGTTATATCACATCCATACATTACATCTATGCTTGTGATTCACTGGAAGCAGAGCTCATCTATTACCAGAATATACAATGAACAAAAAGTCTATTTGCAAACTGGAGCATTACAGAGTCCCAGTGATGTTACTAATGGTCACCAATGAGAACTTGGGAAAACTCCAACAGCCAATCACAACTTTCTTTGCTGGACCCAAGTGCTGATTAGAAGTGAAGAGAGGTTTGCGATTTTCAGTCTTGAATTCTGCATACTTCCTGCAGATATCTCCCGTGTGGATTTGTTCAGGAGCTTCTAGTTTCAGAACAATGACTGGTATTTTTAGAGATTTCAGGATCTTGCTTGCTGGGGTGCTGAGTCTGGTTTTTTTTGCTTTGTCTCATTGTGCATCCTACCTCTATCTACCTCTAGGTGGTAGGTAGAGAATTCTCTAATGTCTTCCATCTTCAATTTATGTAGCAAGACTATTAGCAAAGATATCTGTTACAGTAATGGGCAGATTGACTAAGACTAGAATAGTGTATTTAGTTATCCAGAGGGATCGTACAATTGCATGGCTTGGGGAGCACCTGAGGGGACTAGTTTAAAGAAAACCATACAATTCAGATGCTAATATACATGAATTAATTAATATCATAGAAAAAGATATATGTTTACATAAACTACAACATGTAAACCTATGAGTAGCCTGCTGTTCTCTATACTAGTAGAGAAAATGTTGCAAACGATAACTCAATGATGAAAATCTGTAAGATAGAAACTACTGAAGAGTACTTCCAAAATTACAAAGCTGCTCACCACAATGGTGGCCAGACTTCAAAATGTGGCACTTCTCGAAGGCTTCCTCCCTTTCCATTTCTAAGTGGGGAACTATTCTCCTCTCAGTCCTGTCCTTGCCAATGTAGTACATGGTTGTGCCTAAAATATGAAGCACAACTTTCAAATAATATGAACATACTAACAAGTAATAATATCCTCACTTATCTCTACCACACTGTAAACATTATTATTCAATGAACAAATCCACAAGGGCCGTGACGATGATTCGAACCCGCGTCCGAGAGCATCCCAGACGCTGCCTTAATCGACTGAGCTACGACATGGTCAAAAGGAGTTGAAACCGAAGTTCTACTGAACTTACTGGATCCTGCAGCCTCTCCGAGGCACAAACCAGCGTCTGGGATGCTCTCGGACGCGGGTTCGAATCCTTGTCACGGCCCTTGTGGATTTGTTCATTTGATGCATCACGCAATTGTGATTTCTGTGTGTAATTATTATTCAACTTGAATAAGAAAATTTGTGGCAAAAGTAGTCACAAAATGCATTTTGTTCTTCCCAAAAAGTTATTCAGCTTCTGTTTATCTGTTTCTATTCATATTTAACTAGAAAGTTAAGTTAGTTATTCTACTTTTCTAGTTAAAGATGAAGGCCTGATAACTTTCTTCCTTTCTGGAGGGGTTAAACAGTGGCTCCCTGTTGCTAGCCACTCTGGGATAATTCCATGGCTATAAGTCACATCAGCCATTGCAAGTCATTACGAGCCTACCAGAGACCAGAGGCCTGGTCTCATACCATGTTTATTGTGTGCAGATTAATATCATCATTTCTCTGTGGATATTTATTTATACTATGTCCTGATATGATGATATTTATTGCATGAGAACTTATACTTTGATGTAAAGGTGTTTCACGTAGTGATCTGAGGGATTACATTGTTTTGATTTCATGATGAATTATGTGAATTATGGTAAAATTATGTGAATTATGGTTCTCACTGCTCTCCTTCCCTGATGAGCCACCTTCACTTTTCTCTGTGGTTAGTTAGATACAGGGAGCCACCATTAGGCTCCTTGAGAAAATCAGCATTGAATGTAATGAAACGCCTCTTTCTGGGGAGGCCTCGGTGCTCCTCAGTCCCTCCTTTCCCTACTAGGTACATCGGTTTGCATGTATTCAGCTTATGACTGAAGGTTGTTGATAGGGGGAGCCAGCAGCCCCTATGATGATGACAGCTGATGATGGGCTGTTGATACTAGGGGTGCAAGGCCTAACTACTGGGTGGATTTTTTGCCAAATTGTTTTGATCTTACCTTTTTCTTCAGTTTTACTCATGGGGTTTGATTTTTTGGTGGTGGTAATTATGAATTGACTCTGTGTGCTTCTCTGAGGGAGGATTTAGGTTTGACCTCTGGTCTCAGGTAGACTTTTAATGTCTCGCAAGGGCTCGTGTGATTTATAAGTGTAGAGCTATCTCAGTGTGGATAGCAATAGGGAGCCATCGAGGTCGTCCCCAGAAGGAGGCATTTCATTATAATTAATGCCGTTTTTTTCTATAATCTAAAGTATATTTTACATCTAGCCTAAACAGAACAATAGTCGAATGACAGTATGCTCCTTTTCATACTATCATATATTAACGATAAAAGGCAAAGAATTATAGAAACTCATAAAATTAAATTATTTATATACCTTCAATAATAAATTCTTTAGATGATCTTCTTATGCTATTTTTACTTTTTTTCTGAACATAAGACAAATGTGTTCCAGTCTGCAGGTAGTGTCTGACATGTTGCAGATGTTGCAGTCCTGGTCGCCCCTTCTGCACCCTCACACCTCCCTGTCAACATTCACATTATTCCTAACTATATTTCATACACAAATTGAACTGCTATACAGTATTCAATACCAATATACAATATTAATTATATTGTAATGAAGACAAATGGTTTTATATTTATCATTAGGCTACTGATAATAAAGTATTGTATAGATATTACCACAGACTGAAAACTCTATTGTTGTACAGTACTGTACTACATTACACACAGAAATCACAAAAGTATGATGCATCAAATGAACAAACGGGATTTATTTGTTCATTTGATGCATCACGCTATTGTGATTTCTGTGTGTAATGAAGGGCGAAGAGGGAGAACGGCCAATTGACATAGCTCGAGTGCATGGGGGAGTTGTGTAAAACCATGGTTTGTGTCTCGGAGAGGCTGCAAGATCCAGTAAGTTCAGTAGAACTTCAGTTTCAACTCTTTTGATCATGTCGTAGCTCAGTCAATTAAGGCAGCATCTGGGATGCTCCCGGACGTAGGTTCGAATCCTCGTCACGGCCCTTGTGGATTTATACAGTACGTACTGTATTTCTAAATATATTCATTAGATAATAATTTGTTCTTGTTGTAGGGTTGATTATTATGATGATTTGTAATTACTTTTTGATACATTTACTTTGTATTATTTCAGATAGTATGTAGTGAACTGAGCCTAATAAAGATGAAATGTAGTATCCGAGAATATAACTCGACTCCGTTCAGCTCGTGTACATTACTTTTCAATTGTTTCGTCTATTTTCTAAAGAAGCCCTAACCAAAAAGGAGAACATGTTAATGACACTTATTCTAAGGAAACCTGACGGAGTACATAAAGAGGCAAAATTTAATGCTCGGAATGAGGGGGCAAAGATGAAAGTTCAGAAGCAGATGAGTCACAGCAATGTCAGAAATAACTTCTTCAGTGTTAAGGCAAAAGGCATTAAATATACCAAAACTAAAAGATAGAAGAAAAACACACACATACCTTTGTTTTTGTTTTTGAATCTGTGTGTAATTACACTTAGGTAATTACACACATTAGGTATGTGTGTAATTAGGTAGTTATATTCAAGCTAAAAAACAAAAGTGTCATATAAAGGTAAGTCAATTTCATTTTTCATAGTGATGGTGAAATAGAATAAATGACCTGGGAGTGGTATATGCCAAAACCTTCGGAAGCTTCAAAACATAATAGAACAAAGATTATAGGAAAAACAGGACAATACTACCATAGCTCTTATCTTTTAATTCCACTTAGGTAATTACAAACACACACAGAATATTATCAAAATGGATAAGCACAAACCACAACATCGACTGCATGGAACTTGTGGCTTTCCACTTCTGGCAGCATAACATAATACACTGACTGGAAGTTGACATTTTCTATTTCTTCTTTCAATGCCTTAACAATTCTCAGACGATTCTTCTCTTTCTCAGTTTTTGTGTTTCTCTTGAGCTGTAGAAAAATAAACAGTGGCTCTGATTTCTCAACAAAATTTTCAGATTTGCAATGTCAAATTTCCACAAAATTAAATAACTATTTCATTTAATTCTTATGTTGTGTTATGTGTTGTTGTACGTTGTGTTATGTGTTGTTGTGTATTGTGTTATCTTATATTGTGTTGTGTGTGAGGTGTGCTGGTGCACAATAGAATGGTGGGACTTAAAGAATGTTGAGACCTACAATGGTGGGATCAAATGTCTAATAACTCGGCCAGTGCATTGAAGCCCGAGTATTTTTCACTCTATGCATGATATTAAACTAGTCCTTAGGTTATGACTTGAGTTGGTTTCCCATTCTCGAGGACAAGAGATCTGTTAAGTTAATCGAGATCCCTATAGGTAAGCAACTGACCTTTCCAGGATGCAACCCAAATAGTTGAAAACTCTCAGGTCCCGTATTACATGTTATGTGAACAGTGGCATTAGGTGTAAGGAATTGTGCCCAAATGTCTCATCCTACCCAGGGATCAAACCCAGGACCATTAGATTTTGTGCCAACTGCACTGACCACTACTGTCACTGTCTCCCTTTCCTAATTACCTTAACAAGACCATTTGCAAAGATGCTTATCAAGGTTGGGGACAATGTTGAGGACAACTGAGCAGGGAATATGAGCCCTAAAGTGGAACATAATGATTCTGGATGAGGGAGCATGCAAGGGGCTAAAGCTCAGAAATTGTTGTTTATACATATGTTATTTGTATGTGTAAATACTGCACTGTATAGACAAATATGGGTTCTATCAATTGCAGCAAAAAACACCCAAACCTTTGGGTTAAATAGGAAAAAAAAAAAAAGTTAAATCTAGAATTTACTGAAATACAAAATGGGTTTATGATAAATTTGCCTAGATTTTTTAGATTGCACCTTATTTAAATACATACCTTAAAGTCTGGCATTCTTAGGATTCTCTTAATATGTATTTTAGCAGGACAACCCATTTTTTTTGTTTTTTGGGTTAAAATTCTTCTCTTGATCGTTATATGGTTTTGTTCCTATAATTAAGAGAAAAGAAACAATCATTATGAATAATACTGACACATAACAGAGGAAGTGTAGCAATTGTCAATAATACTGACACATAACAGAGGAAGCATAGCAATTGTCAATAATACTGACACATAACAGAGGAAGTGTAGCAATTGTCAATAATACTGACACATAACAGAGGAAGTGTAGCAATTGTCAATAATACTGACACATAACAGAGGAAGCATAGCAATTGTCAATAATACTGACACATAACAGAGGAAGCATAGCAATTGTCAATACAGTATACTTCAATACTGTAATTTTAAATGTGTTGCACTAATAGTGTGACTGACTAATGGAAAGTTATTTGAATTTTCCCTTTTCTGCAATGACTCTCAAGCACAAGGTGTCATCCCACATGGATGCCTTTGGCCTTGTAGCACTGGTGAAATATGTTTTAATATTTTCCCAGCCTAACTACAATACTGTTCTACTGTCACTAGAATTCTGAGCGACAGAATACTGTAGTTCAGAAAATATACATTAATATGTGCACATACTATTTGCAACTTATCACATTAGACAAGTTGAATCGACCCATCTACAGCAATGTTTAGTCAAGAGATGCAGTTATCGGGCCTACCTTACCTAGAGGTTACCTTGAGGTGTTTTCGGGGCTTAGTGTCCCCGCGACTCGGTCGTCGACCAGGCCTCCTGGTTGGACTAATGGCTGGGATTGTAAACATTATGAACACCATTCCTTTAATCCTTCTACTGTACATCCCAGCTGGGGATGTACAGTATTAGGATACTGCGTAGGATTTATAACTCCCACGGGTCCTTGGGACTCACATTGGCTTTCTCAGTTTTCCAGTAAACAATGCCATTTTGAAAAAAAAAAAAAAAATTATGGACAAGTTCCTGGGTGTGAAGACCTCAGTACTGAGTAAGTAACCATGGGTGGTGCATTCATCATGAGCTAACAGCACTACTGTTCAGCTTGTGTACACAGCATCACATAAAAATGATGAAATATATACCGGAAAGTACAGTGACTGCAATTATTATGAAACGATAGTACCATAGATGATCCTGACTGATAACGGCGATGTACAATGTTCAGATATCACTGAACACAATGCTTTTCATGATGTTCACAATGTGATGCAGGAAGCCTCAGCACTCTCCCATTGTTTGGTTTCTATACCTCATGAAACAACCTCGTGCTCCTTAAGTAGGGTTGCCATACGGCCAGAATACAAAATTTTTCGTTGTGAAATTTTAAATTTTTTGTTGGTGGATTTGGATTTTTTTGTTGGTGGGATTTGGATTTTTTTTGTGGACAGATTTGGAATTTTTATTGGTGGATTTGGAATTTTTTCGTTGGTGGATTTGGATTTTTTTTTAAGACCGTTAACCCAATTCCCAACAGCACTCGGTAACCTTTTTTGGGCACAGATATTTCATCAAGCAGTGAAAGTACTGGACACGATAAGGGGCATGGAGCCCCCTGGCTGTCTGGGTTCAAATCCTTCTGGGGTGTGGAGTTTTTGGTTACATATTGGCTTGGGGACCATTCAAACTTCTTAACACAAAAGTTACTCACGTGGCCCCCTGCATGTGAGGTGATTTGATGAAATATCTGTGCCCAAAACGGTCACCAAGTGCTGTTGGGAACTGGGTTAAGGGTCTTACGACTTCCAATTCTTCTAACAGTCATTGTGGCCTAGTGTTAAATGTACTGGACATGCTAAGGTGCATGGAGCCCCTGGCTGTCTGGGTTTGAATCCTTCTGGGGTGAGGAGTTTTCTGTTATATAGCTATTAACTGGCTATTAACTGAAATGAACTATACAAATTTTCAAAATGTTCAACATCCTTTAGATGAAGGATGGGACAGAAATAATATGAAGTACAGTATTGTACATAGCATCACTTAATCTCACTTAAAATTCCAATGCATCTCATTAACTTACATGTAATTCTTGACATTCTTTAGGAAAATGTAATACTGTACAGTATTGTATAATGAACTAGAGAATATGCCAAAATGTAACTCGCAGGTGATTATTTTCCATGTGTTTAGTTTTGAGTCCTACAAATAATTACTGAAATTTTTCTTTACCTCTATCTTGTCTCTATTTGCAGCGTATCTCCTCTTGTTCCACATTCCACTATCGTTGCCCATGTGGCACTCCATGATGTAGGTTCCAGCCTCAATAAATGGTACTCCAGTGTATTCAACTGCCATTGGGTCATAGCCTCTTCCTTTGGTTCCAGCACCCACTGAATATTTAATATGCTTTCTTCCTTCTCCAGCAAAAGTCCTCATATCTGAGCCTAAACAAATTATTATAATGATAATGACAGTTTTAGAATACAAACTATGTTAACAGGCAGCTGACAGATACAAACATATACACACACACTCGAAACAGAAAGCTCCATTACCATATTTACTCAATTTCTAATTTGTAATGTGTGGAGAAGCCACAGTACAGAGAAATAGGTGAGAAATACAGGCAAATATGGTTGAAGATACTGTGCTGAAATTGACACCTAACAATTTATCATATTCTTCCACACTAACTAATAACATGTAATTATTAAGGTGAAGGGCTAAGCAACTCGATGTACAAATCAATCTGGAGAGTAAAATACTCTTCAAGATGACGAAACAAGAGCTAAGAGGCGCGCATATATATATATATTTATATATATATATATATATATATATATATATATATATATATATATATATATATATATATATATATATATATATATATATATATATATATAAATCCACCTAATTCTTACATTTCAGCCTCTCCATGGATATAGCTTCTGGCATTCTGTTCTGCATTTCTTCTCACATCATAAAAAAATTACATTCACACGTGCTCTTTATCCATAAATTCCACACATTAGAGTTACAAATTCCTTTCTGCACTCTCCAACTTTGTCAAAACTTCTCAATTTCTTAAAAGTAGTGTACAGTATATTACCAATTATGTCAAAAATTCCTTCCTTTCGGTGTCCAACAAAATGCATCCCTGTTGCTTTTTCTTCTGCCATGATAAGGTTCATGACTTCTTCATAGGAGCCCACAACTTTTATTATTCCTATTGGATTATCCTTCTCAACTGTGACATCTCTTTTAGCAAGTGAAGACCGTTTACAGAGTTTGTTCTTCATAGCACTTGCTAAACAATTAGCCACCTTACAGGATGATGCCCTATCTGATTTTGAGATAAGATATTTATCCGAGGAATTCTTTCGGATGTGGAGTGATGTGTTGTGTTTCTTCAGTCCATGTACTTCATGGTGATAAACAATCTGTTAAGGAACACTTGTTGAATTATATCAGTTTAAAAATAATGTATTTTACAGTGTGTATAAACCGAAAGCTAAATGCACATGATGAGTCACAATAACGTGGCTGAAAATATGATGTCTATACCAGACATCAGAAAACGAAGAAATTATATGTTTTGGTCCGTCCTGAACCATTATCAAGTCATGTAATGTAATTATATGACTTGATAATTGTCCAGAACGGACTGAAGCATCGTCATTTTTTAGTTTTCCTTTGTGAGGTTTGGACATCATATGAAAGTAAAATTTATAAATTCCATAGATCACCATAAGTATCTATCCAACGTATGTAAGTTTGCAACAAGTAAATCTTCTGAATATTCAAAATTATCTTTTTTCTTCTGATAATCGGTTATAAAGCTAACAATAACAATTACTCTTGGCTAAATTACAAAAATAATTGGCTCCAGGAAGCAACAGGAGTGCTCAGTTTTAGTAACACAATGTAACACAACTTTTGTTCCTGGGTAGTAAGTGCTGTTCCTGGGTAGTTAAGTGTTATTTTCTCATTGCTTATGCTTGCAAAGTATGGAAAAGGGCTTTTATACCCCCCTTAAATTTTGCTTAAATCTTTACCTAAAACAGCTTAGAGAAGACATCATGAAATACCTGAAGGCTGCCGACTCCTTATCTAGAGCTGTGATACATTGTTTCATAAGACGGCAGCCTTCAAACTCTACCTTCAAGAGGTCTTTCCTAAGCTGTTTTAGGCAAAGGTTAAAGCAAAATTTGAGGGGGGGTATAACAGCACTTTTCTATACTTTAGAAGCATAAGCAATCAGAAAATAACACTACCCAAAAACAAAACAAAAGGTTTACAGTGTTATCACTGTGTCATATTTTTGTCACTGCAAATTAAATGGTGGACACCGCATAAAATGATGACAAAAATTAAAGAAACGAAAGTTACAATTTAAGGACTCGGTAATGTTAATGACTCTTTGTTTTAAATAGCTTTGATAAATCAATTGTAGACCAGTAAATAAATACTGAGGGTTAGTACAGTACATGCACGGTCAAAACACTTAAAACGTACAACACTCACCGGATATTGCTGGTTGGGATTGGCTGTAGGCTCTCTAGAGGTATTTCTTTTATTCAATTTGCATATATCACAGTTATTAACCTGTAAATATAAATATTAGTTGGTAAATACAAAAAGGAAGCCAGAAAAATAAGATTTACGGTACAGTACTGTACTTGAATTGCAATGTGTTTGACATGAATACCTAACTTGCAACTTCACTGGGAGAAGCAGCTGCACCATAGTAAGAGATTTGTTGAAACTATGCAGCACTTTGTCACTCACATTATAATGGGTACAAGATGTACCCATTATAATGTGGTATGAAAAGTACTTGTTATACGAGGTATAGTCCACTAAGACCTTCATTTAATCTCACGTGCAGAAAAAAACACAATCAACAAATACTGTAGCAAATAATGAAAAACAAAAATTACATCATACATAATAATAAACCTTGCATTATGTATTATTCTGCAGTGGATATGAGAATCACACAAGGGATATGGGAAACGAATATGGGTAGATAAAAATAAGATTTTGGTGAATCTAAATAGAAGCAGCCAATGTATGGGCCAATAAGCCTACTGCAGCTTCCTTTATTCTCGTGTTCTTAAATGTATGTAACACTCCATGAGGAGCGCTGTTTGTGGATGACCTGCTTTTACTATATTACTCACTGTAAGTTTTCTTGGTGCCCAATCTCTCATGAACAGTGAGAAATGGGTTAATGAATGTGTAAGGTATGCATGAACAATTTTACTGCTGCTAATATTAAATAGCCGTCTACTCAATCAAACAATAGTTAATTCTACAAATGATGATAATCAGGAAATGCATAAACTAGGTGATGGAATTTAGTATTCAAGCCAATATTCAGTGCAATAATACAAATTTCAATGCTTAACTATTCACGGAGAGACATGTGGTAAAGCACACACATCATCACAACAAAATCTTATCACTATTGCATAATTAAGCATAAAATATGAGAAACATGACAGCTTCAGATCAAGATGGCTACCAAACTCATTTTTGTTTCTTTTAAGATGGAACATATCCATGACCGACTTACCATAACAACTACATCCTCTGCCATACTTGTCCAGTAGTATTTCTCTGCCAAGTTATACACCGTTGAGGTACAATCTGAAATACCAATTCAAGTTCAGTGGTGGAAATGTAAAATATTTTACAAACATTTGTTCATCTTTAACCCTTATTATGGCACTCAAGCCTAGCTTAACACACCAGGCATCTGGGCTGCCATCTGGTGGCAGTCAGGAGCTTCAATCAGGGTATTTACTCTGCAGTAATGATCATTTGCCTAGTTTATCCAGGGTATTGTATTACCATGTCTATGCTTTCTGGTGGATTTGATAAAGTATGGTATATAAACCAGAAGTGGAAAATAATAGCTTTTTAAATTTTAATATAAACTATCCTTAAATGAAATAGTGAAATGGCAGACAAACTGGAGAAAAGCATTTTGTAACATCTGACTTGAGACCAATCATAAATAACATGCAATAAAGCATGTAGTGATGAAGCCAGAAATCATGGATATAAGGCCAAATACAGAAAAATAAGCACTGTACTGTACTGATATACTGCACTGAGGAAACTAACCCCTGCACTGCGCACCTGGTTTCGGCAAAAACTTCTTGGGGCAATTATCAAGGACATACTGTATTCTTGTTGTTTTCATAAATATTTAGGTAAATTTAATGTCAAAATGTTTCCAAACTCAACTATTTTCATTTAAAAACACAAAGAGTAATGAAAACATTAAAAAACATTAAAATATAGCCTAATTAAAAAAAAAAAATAGCACAACTCTTAGAGCACGTAAAGGCGCTTTGCGCAGTGCAGGGGCTAAGGAAAAGCATTCCTGCAAAATACAAAAGTGTGCCTAATATGATGCCCAAAAAGTAAAGAAGTAAATACCTGCATACAAAGTCTATTACAAAACCATTCCTGGAAAAAGACACTGAATAAGCATACATATAATGTATGAAGGAGAAATGTTTGAACCTTACCAAAATGGTCCCCAGATTTTCTCAATATATGACTTTTTTCAAAAGCCATATATTTTTCATCCTCTGTATATAATACAGCTCTCTTCTCACTGCCATCTTTACCAATGTAGTACATTTGCTCCTCTGAAAAAAATAAAAGGAAACTTTTAATATTTTAATATATAATAATACAGAACAGGTTAAAATAATTTCAAACAATGTTATAATTTCATGGTAAACTAATGCAAGGTAGGGATGTCTCAAAGTAAACTCAATGCTGTATAGCTGGACAAAAAATATATATATATAATTAGAACTGTATACATGTATCAGTATTACACAACCTTCAATTGTGAAAGCTTTTGCAGCAATTCTAATGTTTTTTTTCTCATTAATCTTAACAGATGATAAGTATGCACCCGTCTCCAAGTACTTTCTAATGTGTTGAAGGTGAAGTGAAGTATCCTTTTCTTTTGGCACCATGACTCCAGCCTTAAAGATAAAACAAATGAATAAATACAATTGTGACTGCTTGTTCATGCACCAATTAATGGTGATAACAATTACAATATTCTGGACAATATTACCATTAATGTATTTTCTTATGACAGTTACTTGAGGCAAAATGCTCCAAAGCAGGTTTGAAATTACTACAGTACATACAATGGCTCCTATTTTTCATGTTCATATGATGTTCATTCTCTCAAATATTTATAATTAAACGTGCAACATGTAAGCACTGTGAGGATGCAAAACAGGATATACTGATGGTGCTCAGAAAACACATTCACATACAGGAACAACTGTTCACATTTTTAGCCTTTTACAATACTGTTACAGAAACAATGAACAAATCACAGTAGCTGAACTTTCAACTTATCAATAACAAATTACAGTACAGCAATTTACTAAATTTCAGAGGGAAATACTGGTGTCAAAATATTAACAAAAGTAGTTTATAAAACTTTGCTGGGTTGAGAAATACGGTGAGATGTACACTACAGTACTTGGTCTTAGTTGCAAACTAATGGAAAGACAGGCACAAATTAGTAACTATTGTTTGTGAATACATTACACAACACATTTTGGCTATGGAGACCCAGCTTGGAAATGCTAAAGAAACTTACCACAAAGTCTACTACATGATACTTGTGACTCTCGACGTAGGGAAGAAGAATGTAATACACAGACTGGAAGCTCACTCTCTCTAAATCATCCTTCAAGGCTAATATGATTTTCATGCGATTTTTATTCCTTTCTGCTGAAGTATTCTGCTTAATCTGTAATATAAGTTTCAAAGCTTATTTTATTAGACAATGAATGCAGTGGCATGGGAATTATACTAGTACAGTAAAGCGCAACGGCTACAGAGAAAACTAAGAGACAAAACACAGCAGCACAAACAGTGCAGTGACTCGACAAATAGGAAACAGTATTGTGTAATGAAACACCCTTTACTGGTGGAACTCCAGTTGCTTCCTGAACTAAGTTCTTATACCACCAATCCTCAGCCTTAAGACAAAGGCTCAGTCACATCTGTTGATTACTGGTAGGCAGATGTGACCAGAATCTGGCTCACCCTACAAGGCGAGGGGAGCAGGGGATCATATTAACAATTAGTTGCAGAAACCCCAACAGTTAGCATAGGCAAAACAAAATCAGCAATTTCTTGAAAGAAATTAGGCACTCCTTAGGTAAACAAGGCGAAGAATCTTGACAGATATCAAGCACAGTGATATGCTTGACCTCCGTCAGATGGCAGCCCAGGTCATCTGTGGTATCAAGAAGCCTGCCTCCTACAAGAAGCCTACAGGTGTTGGATGGGCTACGGCAGGCAGAGTGAGAAGGCAAGCTTTATGAGACTGCACATGACCTAGCCAGCCATCTGGAGAAGGTCACGTGCATCACATTCAGGGTTTTTACATAGCAGCAACAACCTTTTGTCACATTTATATAGGGGTGCCTAATTAATGTCAAGCAGTTGCTTGTTTTGTTGTGCCTATGTTTTCTGGTGCTTTTTCTCCAGTTTTGTGGTTGATCCCCTGCTCTCCTCACTTTATAGTCAGACAGATTCTGGTCCTGGCTTCCAGTAGGCAACATATGGGTCTCAGACACCTGTTATGTTGGGCTAAGGCTTGATGGCAGCAGAGCTAAACTCATTGAGCTGCTGAGGGGTCTTTTCCAGAAGATAATTTTAAAGGCAAAGAATCTTATCACTGTTTTTTATTTTTTTCCACTGGTGATGCAGCCCGTCCTCTTGAGCGTTTCCAACATCACTAAACTGATGTACGAAAGTGCCCAAACCTAACCTAATGGAGGACCCATGAATAGAAAATGAGACATCACATTAATTTGCAAGCTGGTATGATTTTTAGTATGTACGGCTTTGGCCTTAGGGGATTTATATGTCAAAATGTGATGTACTATTCGAGATGACGGGTTGAGTGATGACCAAACCTTGTGACTTTGACCATAAGTTACCATTTAACAAAAAGAAGAGAGTATTCTTACCTTAAAATCAGGAAGTTTAATAATTCTTTTAATATGCACCTTGGTAGGGCAGCCCAATTTTTTGGTACCGTGAGATCGAATTCGTCGCCTCACAAACATTTTACCATTTTCCTGCTAAAAATAGTTATTTTCAGTATTGTGATTTTTGTTAGTACTGTGGAGTAATGTTTATTTGAACACATTCAGATCATCGTACTCAGTGTTAATCTCAGCCCATCCTCCTATTTAGATAGAATTTATAGCAAGTTAAATTTTTTAAATAGAATTTTGGAGAGTTAAAAAAAATTAAATGAGAAGGCAGTGGATGCCAAGACTATCAGCAGTTTTAGTGAGTATGGGCGGGTGGGAGGGCTTGGGCATGAGGGCGTGCATGTGTGTGTGTGTGTAAATTACAAAGAAATTAATATGTGATAAATAATGTGAAAATATATGCCCATGAAGGAAACTAAAATAAGAAAAAGCACTTTCATGTATATTTCAACACATCTTCAGAAGAACTGACAAAATGCATACAGTGGTAGTATATATATATATAGACAGAAATAGGGCGGTGACATGTGAGGTCAGAATAATGGTCTTTATCATGAGCCAGGTTCATGTAAATATGTAGCTTTTCTTTCTATTTCTATTTAATAAAACTGTTGCATTAAAATATTTATAATATTAAATGAGTCATAAATAAAAATGTTACCTCATTCTTGTTCCTATTTGCCGCATATTTTCTCTTGTTCCACATTCCACTGTCGTTGCCCATGTGACATTCCAAAACATAAGTGCCAGCCTCAATGAATGGTACTCCTGTGTATGATACCGGCACTGGATTACAGCCTCTTCCCTTTGTTTCAATGCTTACTGAATATTTAATATGTTTTCTCCCTTCTCCAACAAATTCTTTCATATCTGAACCTGTGGAAATAAAAGAGATTATAAGTAATTTGCTCTGTAATGAAAATAAAACTTCATAAGAGTTTGAATTAATAAGTAAAATGCCTTTCTGAGTACTATACTGTAATAAGATCTGTATGTCCAAAGGACAGTATCCTACATATTCCAGCCTATCCTCCTGTTTTGGTAGTACTTATAGGAAGGATGATGACCATAGAACTGTACATATACCGACATACACCGCAATTAAAAAGGTATAAATCGATACTATTGAATTTGAACAAACTGGAAAAGGATTTTCTACTTATGTTGCAAAAATAACCTAAGCTAACCTAACCTTTCTAGGCCTAATATAAGCTACCTGAGGCCTAATATAGTACATTTGTGTGCTATACTAGGCCTAGGAATATTTAAGTTTGTTTTTAGCTTCATTTCTTGGGACTCTATAAAGTGAATAGTACTGTACAAAGTTCTACAGCACTGTACTATCTAACTCCTTAGTATGTCAATGTTTGTACTATGGTGCATACAGTTACAAAAAGTTCTATCTGAACAGGAGGATGGGTTGCATACTCAGATAAGACCACATTCTGATACTGGTGCTGAGAAAAATCATTGATTACCAAAGTCTTGACCATGAATTGGCAACAGAAAGCCCACAGAATTCCACTAGGCCAACACAGACTAGATTGATCTTGGCAACATGATACAAGGTGTACTGCAAAGTAATCTTTTATTTAAATAAAGGTAAAATTGAATTAAATTATCAAGTGTACTGTTGCTATTTCAAATCATGTATACAACCTAAAAAAATAATTACAGTACTGTATACTGTACAGGTTTTAAATAATTATATTGAACAATATTTATGTCTAAATACAATGCATTATAGTATGAAAATTCCATCGTGAAACATAAATTTTACAGTACAGTACATATCATTCTTTCTATCCACAGCATTAAAGGGGTGTTTCATGACAACTGGTTCAGCCTAATCATTTTACTTGCCATAATAATAAAAAAAAGATATTTGCAAATAAAATATAATTACACCATGTTACATACTGTAATAAAATGTTTGTCTTACCAGTCATGTCAAAGATTCCTTCTTTTCGGTGCCCCACAAAGTGCATTCCTGTTGCCTTTTCCTCTGCTTGAATAAGTTGAAGTGCTTCAGCATGAGAACCACAAACCTTCAGGATACCTCCAATACCTCGATCCTGATCCTGTTCTTCCTTCTTAATGGGAACCTCTGTCTTTGCCACAGCATCTGGAGACCAGCATAGCGTAGTATCTACTGCTGCTGCTGCTGCTGGAACTGTTGCTGATGTTGGTAAAACACTCTGGCTCATGACCTCAACAATAGATTCAATTATCATATTTGTATTTTCCTGATAAGATCCTGTAAAGTCTTCAGACATGTAACATGACTCGATGCTTCCTTGCTTGGAGTAATTACTGTATCATGATGCTCAATGAGTGAAGACGACAAGAATGAAGCTTCATTCTTAGCCTGTAATGCAGTACTGTATATAGAAAATGTGTAAATGGGTCTACAAGGTTCTGTTTGGTGATCATAAGAGGAATGTGTGTGTGATCAAGACTGGAAATGTGGGATCAAATGCATTATGATGAAGTACGTACTGTATTACATTATAATGAATATAAAGAATATAAAGAATAATAAATATATTTTTAATGGAGCATGTACTATAATCTATGCCATAAATTATAATGAAAAATGTATAATGATGAAGAAATTGAGTGAGTACATGAATGATCCAACACAAATTTTTTAATAATTTTAATATTAAAAATATATGAATTTATGATTTTTTTTTTTTTTTTTTTGAGATATATACAAGAGTTGTTACATTCTTGTACAGCCACTAGTACGCGTAGCGTTTTGGGCATGTCCCTGGAATACGATCCCCGCCGCGAAGAATCGTTGTTACAACCAAGTACACATTTTACTGTTGCGTTAAATAGAGGCTACAGTTAAGGATTTGCACCCAGTAAATCCTCCCCGGCCAGGATACGAACCCATGACAAAGCGCTCACGGAACGCCAGGCGAGTGTTTTACCACTACACCACAGAGACTTTAAATATCATATCATACAATGTCATAAATTGGAGTAGGTTAGGATTGGTTTAAAATCCTTATGCAAACTTTCTGTATGAAGTTACTTTTATTTAGATTTTCCACATGCTTTTTATGCAGTTTAGAATGATCCGTACTGTAATATATTTGTCATATACAGTATATGCCTCAAGAGCAAAGTGTGATCCTAGGGAATGAAGCATCAATCCATATAACACTTATTTCAGTTTCTTAAATAATATTGATGCCTTCCACCTGAAAATCTGTGCCTTACATCAGTATGCCCTTGTAGCAAAATATTCATCTTGCAGCTATTCTTGAGGAGGTGGGTGCCAGACCTCCACCTCAAATATAAGTCAAACTTGACCCCCACCCCACCAATCTCGGACTCCCCGAGCGACCTCTGGAGAATGGAGATAAGACGCTCACTCAAATCTGCAGATCCTTGTTTTAATTGACAATCCAATTAAAATTCAGGCTTATACACACCCTCTAAGCCCCTACCTGCCAAAATTATTACCAAACCATGACAAAGATACTCGTGATAATCATTGTAGTGTCGTCCCCAGGTTGAGTCAAGAGTCTCTCCTCAAGCCCTACATTATTTTTTTCATATAGTAAAATAAGTAAAGTAAATATTATTCGGGAAAGTATATACATAGTTAACTTTACACATAATGTTGGATTTATAGATAGAGCTAGTACATACAATACCTAAAGCCACTAGTACACATATAGCGTTTCGGACATATATTTATTTATGTTTCTCCTTTGTGATTCGTGCAGGTTATGTGGATAGTGTTGTTGTTGTTGTGTTGATTTAGGGGCGAATAGTGTTGTTGTTTAGAGGCGACGAAGAGTGGTGTGGTTGTTGTTGTTTATGTATTAAGGCGCTTAGAAACAAAACTCTTCTCATGTTGAGAAAAAATGAAACCAAAAACGTCCAAAATTATGGGGTAACTTTAGTAGATTTACTGAGTTTACCACCCACCCACCACCCAAACCACTACAGTATTTTTTTTCTCTCTTTCTCTCTCTCTCTCTGTCTCTCTCTCTCTCTCTCTGTCTCTCTCTGCTTAGGCATAGTATGTATCAGCTCTATATAGAATATAGCTCTATATAGAATATAATATAAATTAAACTCACCTGGGGTGACACGTGTTAACATCCATACTGATACTAAATGAAGATTTGCCTAACTCTAAATTGCTTACACAGTTTGTATGAGGGAGAATGATGGCTGAAACACGGTGGAAGGAACGGAGAGAACGGGGGAGAGGGGAGGTGCGTGAGGCGAGACTCGCCAGGTGCTTGCAGGATCGATGCAAGAACACAGGTGAGGGATGCTGGGGGAGAGGACGGATGCTGAGGGAGGTGAGGCATACTGAGGGAGGTGAGGGATGCTGAGGGATGATGGTGGAAGCAGGTAGAGATGGAGAGAGAGAGAGAGAGATGGGTGCAGGACTGACTGTGGGAGGGAAAGACGGGTCGACGCTGAGAGGTCCGAGACTATAGGAACAACTCGACGGAATTAAGTGAGTGGTGGAGGGCCTGCTGAGGAGCATGAGGGGGGGGGGAGGTGGTGAAGGAGGTGTTGGAGTGGATGATAGGGGTCGAGGAGGACATGTTTGGGTGGTCGGGGGAGGAGGTCGTGGAGGACACGCAGTAGGATGGGGACTGATCGATAGCCTAGTGTTGGGTGCACGAGGGCAGGAGGCTCGACTTTGTGTTGTATGCGCTACTCACTAAAATATTAATAACATTGAAATAAATTATACGAAATACAAACACATGTAAAAGTCACAAGCGCGTACACACACAAAAAAAAACATCCAAATGTAAAATGCTTTAAGATAAAACAAGAGCAATGTGGCGGGCGTGAGAGTCAGCCTGGCCGGGAGATGGCGGCGGTGGGCGCTGGAGGCCACAGAGGTCGTGTGGCAAAAGTGGCGCAGATTTAACATTATATTAAAGTCAGGAGCTTCTCGACTGCTCTTGCCGGGCAACCTTGACCGGGACGGTGGGATGCGAGCGGCCGAGGTTGGAGGTGCCGGTGACGTAGATGTGCAGAAAGATAGTTGCTATTCTAATACTGTAGACTGGGACTGTATACATACTGTAGACTGGGACTGTATACATACTGTATACTGGGCCTGTATAAGGGGCCCTGTATACATACTGTAGACTGGGACTGTATACATACTGTAGACTGGGACTGTATACATACTGTATACTGGGCCTGTATAAGGGGCCCACTATGGGTAGCTGTTACCTTCAGTTAGTGCCGTGTGAGCCCCATGCATGTCCTGTAGTTTGTGTACCAGCCTAAGGGGGCGGGTGGTGGCTACCTCCAGACCCTCGCTACGCACTCTATACTCCCACTGTTGGTGGTATGGTACTCCAGACTCCCACTGTTGGTGGTATGGTACTCCATACTCCCACTGTTGGTGGTATGGTACTCCAGACTCCCACTGTTGGTGGTATGGTACTCCAGACTCCCACTGTTGGTGGTATGGTACTCCAGACTCCCACTGTTGGTGGTATGGTACTCCATACTCCCACTGTTGGTGGTATGGTACTCCATACTCCCACTGTTGGTGGTATGGTACTCCAGACTCCCACTGTTGGTGGTATGGTACTCCAGACTCCCACTGTTGGTGGTATGGTACTCCAGACTCCCACTGTTGGTGGTATGGTACTCCAGACTCCCACTGTTGGTGGTATGGTACTCCAGACTCCCACTGTTGGTGGTATGGTACTCCAGACTCCCACTGTTGGTGGTATGGTACTCCAGACTCCCACTGTTGGTGGTATGGTACTCCAGACTCCCACTGTTGGTGGTATGGTACTCCAGACTCCCTACAGCTGTACTGGGGATGGCCTGTCCTGGGATCCGGTCTCCAATATTAGGCATTATACATTGCTTGCCTACTGTTGTGCTTCATTTTAATTTTATTTTATGGGTACGTGGTATGGTTGCAGGTTTAACAGGTATGAGCACTGAGAGTATTCTGCTTGGTGGTGGCTGGCTGGTTTCTATATATATACGTTGAATTGATCATACAGGTGGCGCTGGTGACTCGATAATTGGAAGCCGGCAGGTAGAAACGAGCAATGTGCTTGTTAACCAGCGAGTGAGGTGACTCCAGACGCCATGTGCGTCGGGACCACGGGTACTGGGGTAGACAGGATGGTAAGAGGCTCGTCTAGACATGGCTTCTGAGAACATGTTGTTGTTGCTGAATATTCAGACGTGTTGTTGTTGAATAGGTGATGTAGGAATAAGCCCGTGTGTGATGAAAGTATGTCGTGAAGTGCTTTTTGTTGTGTAGTGAAGATGGCTGCATGTATGAAGGATGTTTGTAGAGGTAATAACCTCAGTGATGAAGGTCGTGTATAATGAAAATGTGGCCTCCATTTTTCACCCGAGCGACGACATCCACCACAAGTGGTTGGGCGTCTACACTACAAAAAAAAATGATAATGCATGTAGATGACAGGAAGTTCGTGAAGGTGGGAGAGGTTGCCCTGGGGCGGCCTGCTGCAGGAGGCCCCCCGAGGCGCAGGTCAACACGCAGCCTGCTGCTGCTGCTGCTGCTGCTCCTCCAACATATACGCCTCACACCTCTTCGTTCCAGACCCTCACCTTACAGGCGAGGGGTGGAGGGGGCTGCTGGGGCTCGGGGCTGGTGCGAGGCGTCTGCCAGGTGGCGGAGCTGTACTTGACCATCTGCACCCGCTGCGAGTTGGCGAAGTTCATGCTCTTCTTCCAGTGTTCATCCGACGGCTCCTCGCCCTCCGGCACCGTCTCCAGCACCCGCCTCTGGTCGTACTCGACGGTGCCGCGGCCAGGGTGGTACTCGTAGGTCCCGAAGGGCAAGGGTGTGTAGGGCCGCTCGCCAGGCTTCCTCTGCCGCTTCGCCGCCGGCTTCGTCACCCTCCTGAACGGCTTGGCGTGCTTCTTCTTGGCCTCTTCGGTCTGCTTGGCCTCTGTTTCTTCGGACCACTTCTTGTACCAGGAGAGCGGGCCCGTCTTTGGAGGAGACCCCCCTCCGACCATTGCTGAAAACTAATAATTATATAATATGTTAATTGTTACAACTAATAAATAAAAGAGCGAGGAACATAAAGAAATGAATTGTGTTTGTTTCCTTGTGTGTTTGTTAGTGAAGCTTAAGACACGCAAGGACGGCCCCCCCCCTGGTGTACCAACTGGAGGGTCCCCCCCCCCTGGTGTACCAACTGGAGGGTCCCCCCCCTGGTGTACCAACTGGAGGGTCCCCCCCCCTGGTGTACCAACTGGAGGGTCCCCCCCCCCAACTGGAGGGTCCCACCCCCCTGGTGTACCAACTGGAGGGTCCCCCCCAGGTGTACCAACTGGAGGGTCCCCCTCCTGGTGTACCAACTGGAGAGTCCCCCCCCTGGTGTGCCAACTGGAGGGTCCCACCCCCCTGGTGTACCAACTGGAGGGCCCCACCCCCCCTGGTGTACCAACTGGAGGGTCCCACCCCCCTGGTGTACCAACTGGAGGGTCCCACCCCCCTGGTGTACCAACTGGAGGGTCCCACCCCCTGGTGTACCAACTGGAGGGTCCCACCCCCCTGGTGTACCAACTGGAGGGCCCCACCCCCCCTGGTGTACCAACTGGAGGGTCCCACCCCCCTGGTGTACCAACTGGAGGGCCCCACCCCCCCTGGTGTACCAACTGGAGGGTCCCACCCCCCTGGTGTACCAACTGGAGGGCCCCACCCCCCCTGGTGCACCAACTGGAGGGCCCCACCCCCTGGTGTACCAACTGGAGGGCCCCACCCCCCCTGGTGTACCAACTGGAGGGTCCCACCCCCTGGTATACCAACTGGAGGGCCCCCCACCCCCTGGTGTACCAACTGGAGGGCCCCCCACCCCCTGGTGTACCAACTGGAGGGTCCCACCCCCCTGGTGTACCAACTGGAGGGCCCCACCCCCCTGGTGTACCAACTGGAGGGCCCCACCCCCTGGTGTACCAACTGGAGGGCCCCACCCCCCCGTGGTGTACCAACTGGAGGGCCCCACCCCCCCTGGTGTACCAACTGGAGGGCCCCACCCCCCCTGGTGTACCAACTGGAGGGCCCCACCCCCTGGTGTACCAACTGGAGGGCCCCACCCCCCGTGGTGTACCAACTGGAGGGTCCCATCCGTCTTATGAGAAATAAGTCACACGTCGTGGGGAGGACATTTATTTAAATTTCTTTTAAAATAAAACGCATTTCAATGCTTTTAAAATACATAATTTGCGTTTTTGTGATCGCGTGTCCGATGGTCGGAGTCGGCTCGGGAGAGAAATTGTTAACCCCGATCGGCCCTATAAGGAGGAACCCGCCGACTCCGACCGACACTGAGAGTGAAAACTTCTTGCAGATCCCGACCAACACTGGGGGTGGGAAGTTGTGGACTCCGATCGACACTGGGGGTGGGACGACGTCGTCCCCGACCGACTCTGGGGGTGGGAGCTCGACGACCCCGACCGACTCTGGGGGTGGGAATATGACCGACTCTGGGGGCGGGAACTTGACGAACGTGACCGACTCTGGGGGCGGGAACTTGACGAACGTGACCGACTCTGGGGGCGGGAACTTGACGAACGTGACCGACTCTGGGGGTGGGAACTTGACGAACGTGACCGACTCTGGGGGTGGGAACTTGACGAACGTGACCGACTCTGGGGGCGGGAACTTGACGAACGTGACCGACACTAGGGGTGGGAACTTGACGAACACGCCGGGGCGGAAGCTAATCGAATGGTGGAACAGGAATAAGCTCAGGCATCTTATTAATGAGCTGTGGAAGGGCAGGAAGCAGACAGACTGTGAGGCAAGTCTTGCTCTGTGCAAGTGTAAATATGCATTGAACAGGTGTGAGGGCAAGTGGAAGAGATTAAAGGAACTCGGAGACAAGAAGTGTGAGTATCTCTTGCAGAAATGTGAGCGCTGTAAAGGCAAGCACGTAAAGAGCGAGGGCGTAAAGAGCGAGGGCGGAAAGACCGAAAAGAGCGAGGGCGTAAAGACCGAGGGCGGAAAGACCGAGGGCGGAAAGACCGAAAAGAGCGAGGGCAGAAAGACCGAGGGCGGAAAGACCAAGGGCGGAAAGACCGAAAAGAGCGAGGGCGGAAAGAGCGAGGGCGGAAAGAGCGAGGGCGGAAAGAGCGAGGGCGGAAAGAAAGAAAAGAGCGAGGGCGTAAAGAGCGAGGGCGGAAAGACCGAAAAGAGCGAGGGCGGAAAGAGCGAGGGCGGAAAGAGCGAGGGCGAGAAAGACCGAAAAGAGCGAGGGCGTAAAGACGAGGGCGGAAAGAGCGAGGGCGGAAAGACCGAAAAGAGCGAGGGCGGAAAGCACGAGGGCGGAAAGACCGAAAAGAGCGAGGGCGGAAAGACCGAAAAGAGCGAGGGCGGAAAGACCGAAAAGAGCGAGGGCGTAAAGAGCGAGGGCGGAAAGAGCGAGGGCGGAAAGACCGAAAAGAGCGAGGGCGTAAAGCACGAGGGCGGAAAGACCGAAAAGAGCGAGGGCGGAAAGACCGAAAAGAGCGAGGGCGGAAAGACCGAAAAGAGCGAGGGCGGAAAGACCGAAAAGCGAGGGCGGAAAGAGCGAGGGCGGAAAGAGCCGGAAAGAGCGAGGGCGGAAAGACCGAAAAGAGCGAGGGCGTAAAGAGCGAGGGCGGAAAGACCGAAAAGCGCGAGGGCGTAAAGAGCGAGGGCGGAAAGACCGAAAAGAGCAAGGGCGGAAAGACCGAAAAGCGCGAGGGCGTAAAGAGCGAGGGCGGAAAGACCGAAAAGAGCGAGGGCGTAAAGAGCGAGGGCGGAAAGACCGAAAAGCGCGAGGGCGTAAAGAGCGAGGGCGGAAAGACCGAAAAGAGCGAGGGCGTAAAGAGCGAGGGCGGAAAGACCGAAAAGAGCGAGGGCGGAAAGACCGAAAAGAGCGAGGGCGTAAAGACCGAAAAGAGCGAGGGCGGAAAGACCGAAAAGAGCGAGGGCGAAAAGAGCGAGGGCGGAAAGACCGAAAAGAGCGAGGGCGAAAAGAGCGAAAAGAGCGAGGGCGAAAAGAGCGAGGGCGGAAAGAGCGAGGGCGCGAAGACGAAAAGCGCGAGGGCGTAAAGACCGAAAAGCGCAGGGCGGAAAGACCGAAAAACGCGAGGGCGGAAAGAGCGAGGGCGGAAAGACCGAAAAGAGCGAGGGCGGAAAGACCGAAAAGAGCGAGGGCGGAAAGAGCGAGGGCGGAAAGACCGAAAAGAGCGAGGGCGGAAAGACCGAAAAGAGCGAGGGCGGAAAGACCGAAAAGAGCGAGGGCGGAAAGACCGAAAAGCGCGAGGGCGTAAAGAGCGAGGGCGGAAAGACCGAAAAGCGCGAGGGCGTAAAGAGCGAGGGCGGAAAGACCGAAAAGAGCGAGGGCGGAAAGAGCGAGGGCGAAAAGACCGAAAAGAGCGAGGGCGAAAAGAGCGAGGGCGGAAAGACCGAAAAGAGTGAGGGCGTAAAGAGCGAGGGCGAAAAGAGCGAAAAGAGCGAGGGCGAAAAGAGCCAAAAGAGCGAGGAGGTAAAGAGCGAGTTCGTAAAGAGCGAGTTCATAAAGAGCGAGGAGGTAGAGAGCGAGGAGGTAGAGAGCGAGGAGGTAGAGAGCGAAGAGGTAGAGAGCGAGGAGGTAGAGAGCGAGGAGGTAGAGAGCGAGGAGGTAGAGAGCGATGCCGTAGAGAGCGAGGAGGTAAAGAGCGATGCCGTAGAGAGCAAGGAGGTAGAGAGCGATGCCGTAGAGAGCGAGGAGGTAAAGAGCGATGCCGTAAAGGGCAAAGGCGTAAAGAGGAAGAGCGTCAAGCGCGAGCCAGAGCCTCCGGCAGCGGCTGGGTGGAGGACCCCCAAGACCAGACCAGCCACGACGGGTCACCATTGACTACGGAGACCGCTGAGATGCAGAGACCCGCCACCAGACCAACTCCCTCAACTTCCACACTACTCAGAGGCTACTCAGGGACTATCCTCTCAGGTCAACGTGTCCCAGCGAACAGACGAGACTGTTCGCACCCCTCAGGAACAGGACCGTTATAGAGTTACTAAAGTAACTCCTAACAGAACGTAATATTAGGAGGACGGGCTGTTGAGACCAGCCGCTAGACTGAACCTGGCGAGGGCGCCCTGTTTATTATTGTCTTTTTTTTCTACGGATATATTGCGTTGCGGAGTCTGCTGTGTCTCTACCATTCTTTGGCTCGTCTCTGTCATATTCGACCTAAACACAGCCTTGAATATGACACTGTCTGTGTCATACTCGATCTAAAGACAGCTTTGGGGTGTTTAGGTACACTGTAACCATCTTCGCTGTAGTGAAGATGGTTACAGTGACAAGGATTAGGGAAAATATGTCTCACTTTTTTTCGCATTCCTTTTCTCGACTGGAGATCCGTTGTCGAGGCCGGAACGTACAGTTGAGGAGCGAGAAGACTCCTCGCGGCACTGAGGAGAGCTAGTGCACCTTGCTCTGCACGTCTGGTCCCGTTTATAGTGTAGATGGCTGACAAGTCCCAGAGTGTTGACCGCGGCCAGAGGACTAAACGCTTCCGTTGCACCCATACGAAGGACATATGTTGGAGGAAAGTGTCAAGGCGAATAGAGCAGTCAAGAAGAAGGGCTAGGCGACTTCAGAGCCCCTCTCTCTCTCTCCAGTGGTAGTAGTAGACATCCATCAGTCTCAGGAGACTATGGAGTTGCGCTCTGGTTGTCGGTCTGGAGTGGCCTCTCCAGGGCGCAAAGCCAGGGTAGGTTGATTTGGGGGAGAAGCTGTTACCCAGGCAGCAGGTCCCCCCCTCTCCACGGCAAGTCCAGTGACTATGTCCTCGTCACTGTAACCATCTTCACTACACTGTCCTTGTCACTGTAACCATCTTCACTACACTGTCCTTGTCACTGTAACCATCTTCACTACACACTGTCCTTGTCACTGTAACCATCTTCACTACACACTGTCAACTTCACCGTAACCATCTTCACTAAAAGACTGTTTTCAACATTGTAACCATCTGCACTATACTGTAATTGTAATATATTACAGAGAGAGAGAACTTCATAATAATACAGTATAATCAGGCGCCGGACCCATGTAAACTCATAGCATTGTAAACTAAAGTAACCTCAGTGTTGCCAGAAGTATCGTGACATACCAGAGAGAAGGTACCCGAGTGATTATAGTCTTGAAGACACGTCTTACTGATATTTTCATTCTCATCTTTAATTTGGCCAAGGAGACTATTGTAATATGCACTACGCCTACTCAGGCCAAGCAATTTCGCCCTGTTGAATCTAGTAAAGTTTCACTTCATGAAAACTGTATATAAGACCGGTGTTCGCAAGGGTACAGAGGCTAGAGAGAGATACAGCGGTTCCTACCTGTGGAGCGGGTACAGTACATGTCTCTCACTTGTCCACAGTTTAATATGAAGTGAGTGATATTTCCCATCGGTATTTTGCATGTTGATTTCATGCTTGTGACGCAATTATATGTAAATGCTCGCATTGATTGTTTTCAAAATTTCACCTCCAAAATAAGAGTGTGTGGATTTGTTTTTTTTATAATAATGGTTTGTGTGAGATATATAATATTCTTTCCTAGTGCAGGACTGTTAATATTGTCTTTTATGAACTGTCTTCCATTATGATGCGTTAATTAAGTCCCCTTTTGCATAAATTAGAGGGTCCCATCCCCTAGTGTACTAAGGGATGGGACCAAGGGATAATGGGACCCCTACCTATGGAGGGTCCTATCCCCCTAGTGTACTAAGGGGATGGGACTAAGGGATAATGGGACCCCTACCTATGGAGGGTTCCATCCCCTAGTGTACTAAGGGGATGGGACCCCTACCTATGGAGGGTTCCATCCCCTAGTGTACTAAGGGGATGGGACTAAGGGATAATGGGACCCCTACCTATGGAGGGTTCCATCCCCTAGTGTACTAAGGGGATGGGACTAAGGGATAATGGGACCCCTACCTATGGAGGGTTCCATCCCCTAGTGTAATAAGGGGATGGGACCAAGGGATAATGGGACCCCTACCTATGGAGGGTCCTATCCCCCTAGTGTACCAAATAGAGGGTTCCACCTCCTCATATACCAACTGGAGAGGGGGACAACCCCCTTACGGTCGGTGGAGCAGCGTGCAGTTTCAACCAAATTTGTTATAAGATTACAAAATTTAATTACAAAAATTAAATATATAAAATGTTTTTAAAATATATTTGCGTTTTGGTCATCACAAGCACCATGCTTGGGATTGTGGGAGAGGAGGTCTCGGAGCTCCAGGCGGCGGGTGGAAACTTGTCGACACCAATGAGCCCCGAGAAAGAGAACACGTCAACCCCATCGAGCCCCGAGAAAGAGAACACGTCAACCCCATCGAGCCCCGAGAAAGAGAACACGTCAACCCCATCGAGCCCCGAGAAAGAGAACACGTCAACCCCATCGAGCACCGGAAAGGAGAACACGTCGACACCAATGAGCCCTCAGCAGAAGAAGCCATTGGGCCCTGAGAAGAAGAACACGTCAACCCCACTAGGTCCTGGGAGAAAGAACCCACTGAGCTCTATGAAGAGGAACACGTCAACCCCATTGGGTCCTAGGAGAAAGAACCCATTGAGCTCTATGAAGAGGAACACGTCAACCCCATTGGGTCCTAGGAGAAAGAACCCACTGAGTCCATCGACCCCATCGGACCCTGGGAAGGGGAACTCAACGACTCCATCAGGCCCTGAGAAGGGGAACTCAACGACCCCATCAGGCCCTGAGAACTCAACGACCCCATCAGGCCCTGAAAAGGGGAACTCAACGACCCTCTCGGACCCTGTGCAGGGGAACTCATCGGGCCCTGGGAAGGGGAACTCTACGACCCCATCAGGCCCTGGGAAGGGAAACTCATCAGGCCCTGGGAAGGGGAACTCTACGACCCCATCGGACCCTGGGAAAGGAAACGTGACTAAGCTTAACGATCAGGTGTTGTCTATCCCCCTGGAGGACAGTTCAGGCAGCAGCCGGCCTGGGGCCAAGTACTCTGAGGTCGACCCCTCCAAAAGTGGGTGGGCGAAGCGGCCCTACACCCCCAAAGTCAGACCAGCCATCCACATACACCGGGGCACCACAGACTACGAAGACCGCTGGGACGTAGAGACCCGCGACAAGACCAACTCCCTCAACTTCCGCAGCACGCAGAGGGTAGCCATCATGGGCTACAACACCACCTCCTGGAACCCGCCGAAACCCGCCCTCCCAGACCCCCCAACTGACTACACCAAGCCTCCTCCAAACGACCCCAGCGACAAGCGGGTGTGCAGGATGGAACAGACCTTCCACAGGTTGCTTGGCGAGCCCGTCACCTTCGAGAAGTTTATCTGGAAGAGAAACTTCCAGGAACTGGTGGACAATGGGACCTACCTGCCCTCTGACGCAGACTACCACAGAGACCACACCATTAGGGTATATTGTCCCAAGGAAATGGAGAAATTCTTCGTACACTATACCAATAGGACGGCAGAGTTCGTGAGGCTCCTCTGAGCCAACCGGGCACACTGCGGCCATCGTCCTCCACGCATCTACTTTCTATATTACTATTTTTTTCCTTTATTTTTTTTTTATATCACACACAGGCACTATTTCATGAACAGTATGGTGTTCATGGGCACTATTTAGCCCATGAACACCACAGATCTCTGCATTTTTTTGTAGTGTTCATTTGTTCTGTTGTGGGAAAGACTGTGAACTTAGATAATCACTGCGAGGATGAATAGAATTAGACATTATTTTCATATTTTATTAATACTATTACTCCAGCAGATGTTGAAGCCATGAGAGACAGATGTCACTCCAGCAGGTGTTGATGACATAACAGACAGCTGTCACTCCAGCAGGTGTTGATGCCGTAACAGACAGCTGTCACTCCAGCAGGTGTTGAAGCTGGGAAGAACCATCGCCTATATATGTTGTGGCGCCAGCGTGATGACCTGCTGGCACCACACACTTCCGGCGCCTGATACACCTGCGTCCCTCATGGCACTGGAGTCACCGGAGTGCCACTGGACGCCTCCGGAGCCGGACCTCGAACACACTAGGGCATCACAGCTCGCCCCCCGGCCCTGAGGAAATTACATTGACATTAACATTTCGAATCAAACAAACTGGGTAGCAATGTTTTGTCCCCCACACGGGACAACGAATGACCCACACACACGGGACAATGACACACATGGGACAATAAATGACCCTCCACACGGGACAATGAATGACCCACACACACACGGGACAATGACACACATGGGACAATAAATTACCCCCATACGGGACAATGACACACACGGGACATTAATGATCCCCACACGGGACAATGACACACACGAGACAATAAATGACCGACGCACACGGGACAATAAATGACCCCCCACACGGGACAATGACACACACGGGACAATAAATGACCCCCCACACGGGACAATGACACACACGGGACAATAAATGACCCCCACACGGGACTGACGCACACGGGACAATGACACACACGGGACAATGACACACATGGGACAATAAATGACCCCACACACGGGACAATGACACACACGGGACAATAAATGACCCCCACACGGGACAATAAATGACCCCCACACGGGACTGACGCACACGGGACAATGACACACACGGGACAATGACACACATGGGACAATAAATGACCCCACACACGGGACAATGAGACACGGGACAATAAATGACCCCCACACGGGACTGACACACACGGGACAATGACACACACGGGACAATAAATGACCCCCCACACGGGACAATGACACACACGGGACAATAAATGACCCCCACACGGGACAATGACACACACGGGACAATAAATGACCCACGCACACGGGACAATAAATGACCCACGCACACGGGACAATAAATGACCCCCACACGGGACTGACACACACGGGACAATGACACACACGGGACAATAAATGACCCCCCACACGGGACAATGACACACACGGGACAATAAATGACCCACGCACACGGGACAATAAATGACCCACGCACACGGGACAATAAATGACCCACGCACACGGGACAATAAATGACCCACACACGGGACAATAAATGACCCACACACGGGACAATAAATGACCCACACACGGGACAATAAATGACCCACACACGGGACAATGACCCACACACGGTAGCACCTACCTGGGCAGCTGCTGCCCGAAGCACTAAACGATCTCAGCATCATGGAGCGGGAACTCTAAGTCGACTGCGGCAACAGGCCCGTGGACAAAGAGAACACGGAGAGGGAGAAGGAGGGGAAGGAAGAGAAGGAGGAGGAGGAGGAACAGTGTAGGATACTTTATATACTGCTTGTGGCAGGGAGAGCCACAGTTTATATAGGCGCGGGTGTGTAAGGACGCCAGACTCCGCTAGCCTCACCAACACACACAAACACCGTCGTATATTCCTGTCACAAACGCAGAATTATGTATGCAGGAAGCTCCAAAAAATAATTCCTTGACAGAAAGATATATTTATGCAACCAAATACAATAAATATCTCGAAACGAAATAGAGTGATTTACGGACATAAAAATCCATTTCTGATGAGCAATGGAAATCATGTTGAGTGGCTTCCTGCGGCCGTCGGGTTGACAGGTCCTGGACGGGTCTGGCTGGGCGGTACGTAGTACCACACCCACAACGTATGTGTATGTGTATGTGTGTGTGTGTGTATGTATATGTATAGGTATAAAGTATATATGGAAGCTGATCAGAATTACATTTCACCTTTGTGAATGTACATTAATGACACATGTAAAAGACACATCAAACACTTTATGTAGGGCATACGTAAATCTGTGTATTTACGTATGTAGGTTAGCTTAGCATTTTAAAAGCACCGAATCACCTTCTGTGGTCGAGTGTTCAATAAACCCATGTTTAACACTTCTCTAACCCTGTCCATGGAGGACAGAAGAAAATGTATATATGCTGGTTAGCATTGTAAATGTCTGGCCACGTCTGTGGTAGAAAATAGTAATAATAATAATAATAATAATAATAATAATAATAATAATAATAATAATAATAATAATAATAATAATAAAAATTGTGTTTAGAGACCTCAGGGAAGGAAGCAGCATCACATCTGTTACCATGACGACGGCTTGCAACACTAATATATATATATATATATATATATATATATATATATATATATATATATATATATATATATATATATATATATATATATATATATATATATATATATATATATATATATATATATATATATATATATATATATATATATATATATATATATATATATATATATATATATATATATATATATATATATATATATATATTATATACGCAGTACTCGGTGTACTATGTAAGACGCGATTTGCCTAACAAGTTTTCCTGAATTTATATATTTTTCTTATTTTTTTCTTATGAAATGATAAAGCTTTTCATTTCACCATTTTTTTTTGTATATTGAGTTAAAACTAACGTAGATATATGACCCAACCTAACCTACCCTACCTAACCTTCTCTACATAACCTAAACTAACATAAATAATATTTAAAATAAACCAATAGGAAACAATTTATTGAAAATAAAGAAAATCACTCGGCCTATTAGGCAATTCGGGCCTTGCATAGTAGGCCGAGAAGTGCGTTCTGGCTACTAGGTACGACATATACATATATAAAAAACTGATGTAAATATGATATTATTTAATAAAAAAACGGAAAAAATATAAAATATTGTGCCAGTACAATATTACTATTTTCTAGATAACGTCAAAAACGACGTTTTTTGGCTTTAGGTCGAATATACGTCAAAATGCGACGTTCTATTAGGAGGACGGGTTGCTTTGTGAGAAGTCTACCCCTCTGTTAACTGAGCGCCCGTCTGGGGTCGACCCGTACATGACAAGTACAGCCTGCAGCGGAGGGCGTGTGGCATGACTCGGGCCCTGGTTACACCATGCCTCGTGTGACGGGGTCCTGGTTGTACCCTGCATCATGTGAGAGGTCCTGGTTGTACCCTGCATCATGCGAGGGGGTCCTGGTTGTACCCTGCATCATGTGAGGGTCCTGGTTGTACCCTGCATCATGTGAGGGGTCCTGGTTGTACCCTGCATCATGTGAGAGGTCCTGGTTGTACCCTGCATCATGTGAGGGGTCCTGGTTGTACCCTGCATCATGTGAGGGGTCCTGGTTGTACCCTGCATCATGTGAGGGGTCCTGGTTGTACCCTGCATCATGTGAGAGGTCCTGGTTGTACCCTGCATCATGTGAGAGGTCCTGGTTGTACCCTGCATCATGTGAGGGGTCCTGGTTGTACCCTGCATCATGTGAGGGATCCTGGTTGTACCCTGCATCATGTGAGAGGTCCTGGTTGTACCCTGCATCATGTGAGAGGTCCTGGTTGTACCCTGCATCATGTGAGAGGTCCTGGTTGTACCCTGCATCATGTGAGAGGTCCTGGTTGTACCCTGCATCATGTGAGGGGTCCTGGTTGTACCCTGCATCATGTGAGAGGTCCTGGTTGTACCCTGCATCATGTGAGGGGTCCTGGTTGTACCCTGCATCATGTGAGGGATCCTGGTTGTACCCTGCATCATGTGAGAGGTCCTGGTTGTACCCTGCATCATGTGAGAGGTCCTGGTTGTACCCTGCATCATGTGAGGGGTCCTGGTTGTACCCTGCATCATGTGAGAGGTCCTGGTTGTACCCTGCATCATGTGAGAGGTCCTGGTTGTACCCTGCATCATGTGAGGGGTCCTGGTTGTACCCTGCATCATGTGAGGGGTCCTGGTTGTACCCTGCATCATGTGAGAGGTCCTGGTTGTACCCTGCATCATGTGAGAGGTCCTGGTTGTACCCTGCATCATGTGAGAGGTCCTGGTTGCACCTTGCATCATGTGAGAGGTCCTGGTTGTACCCTGCATCATGTGAGGGGTCCTGGTTGTACCCTGCATCATGCGAGGGGGTCCTGGTTGTACCCTGCATCATATGAGGGGTCCTGGTTGTACCCTGCATCATGTGAGGGATCCTGGTTGTACCCTGCATCATACGAGAGGTCCTGGTTGTACCCTGCATCATATGAGGGGTCCTGGTTGTACCCTGCATCATGCGAGGGGGTCCTGGTTGTACCCTGCATCATGTGAGGGGTCCTGGTTGTACCCTGATCACGTGAGGGGTCCTGGTTATACCCTGCATCATGTGAGAGGTCCTGGTTGTACCCTGCATCATGTGAGGGGTCCTGGTTGTACCCTGCATCATGTGAGAGGTCCTGGTTGTACCCTGCATCATGTGAGAGGTCCTGGTTGTACCCTGCATCATGTGAGAGGTCCTGGTTGTACCCTGCATCATGTGAGGGGTCCTGGTTGTACTCTGCATCATGTGAGAGGTCCTGGTTGTACCCTGCATCATGTGAGGGGTCCTGGTTGTACCTTGCATCATGTGAGAGGTCCTGGTTGTACCCTGCATCATGTGAGAGGTCCTGGTTGTACCCTGCATCATGTGAGAGATCCTGGTTGTACCCTGCATCATGTGAGGGGTCCTGGTTGTACCCTGCATCATGTGAGAGGTCCTGGTTGTACCCTGCATCATATGAGAGGTCCTGGTTGTACAGAGACCCCCAGTACCACCATCCCTATTCTCGATAACATAAACGGGAAATATATTTCCAGCTTATTCCTAACGGGCATAAAAATAATTCCGTGTTATCAAAAACATCTTCCTTTGCGTTTAAGGGAGAAAAACCCTCCCGTCCATATATATATATCCTTCGACAAAAATATACAATACTGCGTCAGATGAGGGTTATACGCAGTTCGTATACGAATGGTGCCACCGGACCGATCCTGTACAGGACGGGTGGGCGTGGACCGCGCCCGGCCCGCACCACCAACACCTCCAACATTGCGCAGCATGATGAAAAATAAGGCTTTTAATGATTATCCTTGATAAACCACTGTCGGCATAGTATAGCACAGCCTAACACACCATTATCAGAATAGCACAGCATAATGCAGCATTATCAGTATAGCACAGCCTAACACATCATTATCAGTATAGCACAAATGCAGTATTACCAGTATGGCACAGCATAATGCAGCATTACCAGTATGGCACAGCATAATGCAGCATTACCGGTATGGCACAGCATAATGCAGCATTACCAGTATGGCACAGCATAATGCAGCATTACCAGTATGGCACAGCATAATGCAGCATTACCGGTATGGCACAGCATAATGCAGCATTACCAGAATGGCACAGCATAATGCAGCATTACCGGTATGGCACAGCATAATGCAGCATTACCAGTATGGCACAGCATAATGCAGCATTACCGGTATGGCACAGCATAATGCAGTATTACCAGTATGGCACAGCATAATGCAGCATTACCAGTATGGCACAGCATAATGCAGCATTACCAGTATGGCACAGCATAATGCAGCATTACCAGTATAACACAGCATAATGCAGCATTACCAGTATAACACAGCATAATGCAGCATTACCACCATAACACAGCATAATGCAGCATTATCAGTATGGCACAGCATAATGCAGCATTGCCAGCATAATGCAGCATTACTAGTATGGCACAGCATAATGCAGCATTACCAGTATAACACAGCATTACCAATATAACTAACACAGCATAATGAAGCATTACCAGTATGGCGCAGCATTACTAGTATAGCACACAGCATAATGCATTACCAGTATAATACAGCATAATGCAGCATTACCAGCATAACATAGCATTACCAGTATAACACAGCATTACCAGTATAACACAGCATAATGAAGCATTACCCGTATAACACAGCATTACCAGTATAGCACAGCATAATGAAGCATTACCAGTATAACACAGCATAACCAGTATATCCCAGTATAACACAGCATAACCAGTATATCCCAGTATAACACAGCATAACCAGTATATCCCAGTATAACACAGCATAATGCAGCATTATGAGAGGCGGGCAGACGGGACACGGAGGGCATGACGGGTCCCTGTGGGTACCTGTCCTGGACGCGATGGCCAGCCAGCTCCTTCCTCACAACACGACCCGCGCCGCTACTAAACTTATCATTCACCACCAAAAATTTAATTTTTTTCCTTGTCAATGACTATTTTCCTCTCGAGATATTTGTTGTAATTTATTAAAAGTTTATAGGAGCAGCGTTTAGTGTTATCAGAACCGATGTCTCGCGGCTGTATCGTCGGGCATTCATGAAATGCGAAATTATAATTACAAAAATATAAAAATAAATAAATAGGCTATTCAGACTCCTAAATTCAAAACTGCGGTTTATATTTTTTAGTTATGTGTAATGTGCATTAGGATATATATAAATATTTAGGTATCAACATTCGGCATCCATGAGGCTAGGCACGTGAGGCTTGGGGTATATATATTTTAGCACCAACTCCAGAGATCAGACTTAAGCACAAGTTACCTGAGGGAGCGCGGTGAACAGGTGCTGCACAGCCGAGACACAGCCGAGAGACACTTAGGACACCCACGAGGTGAGTACACTTTAAGACAACTATATACTTGATGTAATGCTTAGATCGACGCTCATTTGTTAATCAGGTCACGGGACAGTAAATTGCTGACTTGTAATGCGGTTGACTCACAATCAACTGAACGGGAGTTCGATTCCCTGGCAGGGCGATCTGGGTAAGGTGAGTCGTTAACATAGACCAAATTAAGGGAGGGTAATGGGGCAAACAGGCTTGCTGTCTCCGACTTTAAGAAACATTAAAATGAAGACGATTGTGGTAGTGAAATTGCCATTGAATTGTATTCTAGATAATTTTTCTTTTTTTAATATTAATGTCCCCAAGAATATGATATATTTTATAAACATAAATTCAAGAATAATATTTGTTTATACGAGACAATTTACAAATTGTAGCTAATACCATTGTCTTTCTTGTTACAGGTTCTCACCATGCCCAAAGGTAAGTCATCTGCCTTGTTCATTGTGGAGTGTCCCAACACCTGTACACTGTGGAATGTCCCAACACCTGTACACTGTGGAATGTCCCAACACCTGTACACTGTGGAATGTCCCAACACCTGTACACTGTGGAATGTCCCAACACCTGTACACTGTGGAATGTCCCAACACCTGTACACTGTGGAATGTCCCAACACCTGTACACTGAGGAATGTCCCAACACCTGTACACTGTGGAATGTCCCAACACCTGTACACTGAGAAATGTCCCAACACCTGTACACTGAGAAATGTCCCAACACCTGGACACTGAGGAATGTCCCAACACCTGTACACTGTGGAATGTCCCAACACCTGTACACTGAGGATGTCCCAACACCTGTACACTGAGGAATAATTCTTCACATAATGACCCGTCAATCTGTTAACAGCAAGGTATCCAATTACTGCTGGGTGAACAGGGGCGAAAAGTTAAAGATTGGCGAACGGTTAAATCTCCCTGGCCAAGACTCGAACCCAAACCAAATTGCCGGAGAGGCACTGGTGTTACCACTACACTAAGACCTGCATATACTCATTATACTAGTCGATCTTGTTCACAACTTCATTAGTCATTCCTCTCTGGCCCAAGCAAGTTTGGTATCTTTATAATACATTTATGGGAATTTTCAAATCTATTTCCACCTGCCCAAGTACTTATTCCAAGAACAAGGACATGAATAGCCATCTTTTCAAAGACTTCTCTCGTATTTCTAATACCTCCTGCTCTTTACGTAACTCATTTAAGATAATTCCACCTGCTCCAAAAGATTTCTTAATGCATTTCCTCCCGCGTCAAAAGTTTTATTTATCATAGTTACTCATATAAAATTTCCCCAGCTACTGACGTTTTCTTTAATGCACTCAACTTTTGAATTGATTCATTACAAATGCAACGTCTTTCCCTCCAGGATACGTTGCTTCGCCTGGCGACCTGAACGATGCCGGCTTCACTAAAGGCGGCATCAGCAAGGGTAGCTTGGGCTCCGGAATGATGTCGTATGCTGACAAGAATGCTGGCAGCAGGGGTGTGGTGCCTCCACTGCAGAGTGCCGGTGCCAGGGGGCAGCCTTTTTCAGGTGGGTTCATGAGTGTATTATTTTATACACACAGTCTCATTAGGATTCTATTTTTATTTTTTTAACATTTTTGGTATTCAATGGTGTAGTGTTACTGGCTATTGTGCTCGGAAAGTCCATACTGTTCCCATGACCTATTTGGAAACTACATTTTATTTATTTATTTATATACTAGAAGGTACATTGGGTTTGTGAGAATACATAGCATAGTACAGTATTTACAATCTTGTAAAGCCACTAGTACGCGCAGCGTTTCGGGCAGGTCCTTAATGCTAATTCTGTACATCTTCCATGACTTCTGCAGCAGGAAATGTGAGCCGCGGCGCCCTGGACCAGTCAGGGTTCAGCTCTGGCGGGATCCAGAGGAACAGCGGTGGCGCCAACGCCATGAGCGCCGCCTACACCTCCGGGGCAGGCAAGGGCGTCGTGTCTGCGGCACAGTCTGCTGGCGCAAGGAAATAAAAACAAGAGAGGTGGTCGTGGTTTACTCTGCTGGGGGGGAAGGGGTTACTGTGGCGACTTGAGTGATTGTTGGACATCGTGGCTTTTTTGGTATTTCATAAGTCAATAAAATTCTAGTATTAATTAATGTATTTTTCTTAATTCATCATTATTTATTTACTAAAACAAGTATGTTGGGCTTCGTGATGGTAGGCTGCAGTAACGTCAAGTAACACATAATTGCGTTGCTTTCAATCACTGTAATTACTGACTGTACCGTACTGTATTAAGGCTTCGAAACACTAACTTTGCTAAAAAATTGTTCTGTTTAAGACATGTAATGCTGAAAGCAATGTATAACTATGGTAGTACAAAAGATTTCATAAGATCTTCATTAAAATAAATAGTATAAATTAAAGTAACAATTTTTATACTGGACTATAAATTAAACTTTGCAGCTTTTTACACTAATCATACGAAAACAATGGAGAAAATATTTAAGTGGTATTTCCAATATTTGCAATTTGTGTTGAATGCAATATATAAACATAAAGGAAGCCTATTATTAACTCTTTAATAACAACAGTTTTATACCATAGTAATTCAAACGAAGCTTAACGTACGAGCAGTAAACCTTGAGAAATTTAATGACACTTTAAAATTGTATTAAATTAGTAAGACCAAAATTTATTATGAGAGACTATACAGAAGAAATCCTCACAGACACGGAAGATGAGGCTACATGTCGACCACCCCTCCCTTCCCCCCCCCCAACACACACACATGGATAGGCTAAAACCGGTTATGTGTTTTTCATTTACTCGTAACAAAAAGTTCCAAGTAGCACGGGCTATGGTGAGCCCGTAGTAGACTTCGATCTTTCCTTGTACCATCTAGATTTAAGCTTTTAAAGTTGGTGCAGAATGCGTTAACAATAGCTAGAGGCGCGCACTGGGCTACTGGGGGATTCTCATCCACATTAAAGAGTGAAATCCAACCGCAAAGTCCCGGGGTTAGATTCTCGCGGCAGGACGGAAACGTTTGGGTACGTTTCTTATCACCTGATGCTTCCTGCTTGCTTCACTCTCAGGTAAATATCGAAGAGCCTCTCTATTCCACCTGTTCTCCCACTCAATGGGAGAACAGGTGGAACAGGTGTTACGACACTAGAAAAAAGAAGGGGGAGGGGGATATGATAGGAACGTATAACAAAATACTCAGGGGGATTGACAGAGGGGACATAGACGATATGTTCCCACTCAATGTTTACTCACATTACTAACGGGAATGTTGACGTTTTCTATGAATGCGCCTTCTTGATAAGTTGGTGGGTTGCTTGGGTACACACGTGAGAAGCATTCTGGCAGAGAATGATATAATTTGTTTTCGGAAACAAATATGCTTTTTACGTGCCTCTCAGTACTCCTGGATAATTATATAAATCCCATCATAGTTTACCAGTTCGTACCCCCAACAACATTCTGAATGTCTCAGTCAATAATCAATAATATAATTGATTATTGAGATATCAATAATCAATGTCTCATTATTCTTTATCTTAAAAAAAAAATCTGAGCTACATGCCCATAGTAATTACTACATTATTATTGTTTGTATTGTTATGCTAGTAAAATTTTCGGTTCAAAATGGGATTTTCCAGGGATGTGTACCCAAAAACACACACATTATATATATATATATATATATATATATATATATATATATATATATATATATATATATATATATATATATGATATGAAAAGATACGAGAAGCTGGATAGCGGTTAGTTGCTTCTGAAATCTTTCAAACATCAATAAACGTCAAATAATTAGCGTACTAAACTTAACTCTTGTTCTAACTGTGATTTACTAGCTTGCATAAAATTATCATAATTATTAAACTATAGAAAAATCGTAAAAATCCCGAATAATTAAACACTTTGTAATGACTTAGTTATTTAGGATATATTTAGATTGCGTCATAAAAGAGATTTTCCCCACTTGGCGGGTGAAAGATAACGGTCAGCTTGAAGGGGTTCTAAGAGGTTAATAACCCCTTGTCTGCCACAGTTAAAGTCATCGCTCGCTGCATCAGGGTACAACTGACAGTGAGAACCAAAATAAACTGCTTATCTTCGAGGCATAATACAGGAAAATAATGGTGTTACAGTATCCAATGACTGGAGGAACGCGCGCCTCCAGGCGGCCAGATAACCTGATCCAACTGGAATATCTACGCCTCGCTCAGGTGTGGCCGCGATCACAGTTGCCACATCGCGGCTGGAAACCGCGAGCGACGCACTTGTTGTCTCTACTGACTTTTATATCATAAATAATGGATATTTATCGATTAATAAAATCTCTCGTATTGTCATGTAATATAGTAGGCGGTTAAATATATAGTTTGTCAATATAACGTAGGCTGGGACACGGAATGTTGTGGATGTGATGCGACGTGGTGTTGGCATCACTTTATATCTGGCCCGTGCCAGGTGGAAGGACCTCACTGGCTGCTCACAACGGTGCCGTTACTTTTCGGAAAATAATTTTTGGGGTTGTAAATATCGCTTTCCTTCGTTTAAAACCAGTTTTTACCATAAATTGATAAAGTTGTGTATAAATGCGTTGCTGGTTTCTTGATAACAAACTCGTTGCCATACAGCACTTGCAAGTCACTGTTGACAATTTCGACCAATTTATGCTAAAACTCTTCCATGTTGGATGCAGATGATAAATAACACTCTAATATGTTTTCCAATATTATAATTTGTGCTTCTAAGTGAATTTAACATATAGTTCCTTCCTTAATTCTACATATTTTGACGGATTCCTCGGAAATTGGGTGCGTGTGGCGACTGATGGCATCTCGAGAGCGAGGCGCGCAGGCACGTAAATACAGCTGCGCCATTGATTCTTCACCAGTCGTCAGTTCACGTTCAGCAGCCACACATGTAAGTCCTCTTAACCCTGTGTTTTGTGAACGTTCTTTTGTGTGAATGAACCCCATTCATTGTTGCTCCCCTTGTATTGTGAACGTTTTGTTCGATAGTAATTATCCCCCTAGTGAGTATTATATCTTGCATTCTTATACCTTTAGTGAGTATTGTCCCTGTGTTCAGTATTAACCCTTGTGTTCAGTTACCTGTGTCCAGTATCAGGAGTTTATTCTTTGTGTTGCGAGTGTTTCCAGTTGTGTTGCGAGTGTTTCCAGTTGTGTTGCAAGTTTCCAGTTGTGTTGCGAGTGTTTCCAGTTGTGTTAAGAGTGTAGCCTATTGTGTTAAGTGTTTCCAGTTGTGTTGCGAGTGTTTCCAGTTGTGTTGCAAGTGTTTCCAGTTGTGTTGCGAGTGTTTCCAGTTGTGTTGCAAGTGTTTCCAGTTGTGTTGCGAGTGTTTCCAGTTGTGTTGCGAGTGTTTCCAGTTGTGTTGCAAGTGTTTCCAGTTGTGTTGCGAGTGTTTCCAGTTGTGTTGCAAGTGTTTCCAGTTGTGTTAAGTGTTTCCAGTTGTGTTGCAAGTGTTTCCAGTTGTGCTAAGTGTTTCCAGTTGTGTTGCAAGTGTTTCCAGTTGTGTTGCAAGTGTTTCCAGTTGTGCTAAGTGTTTCCAGTTGTGTTGCAAGTGTTTCCAGTTGTGTTGCAAGTGTTTCCAGTTGTGTTGCAAGTGTTTCCAGTTGTGTTAAGAGTGTAGCCTATTGTGTTGCGAGTGTTTCCAGTTGTGTTGCGAGTGTTTCCAGTTGTGTTGCGAGTGTTTCAAAGTTGAGTTGCTATTATTGCCTATTGTTTTGCGAGTGTACCTATTGTGTTGCCCATTGTGTTGAATATTGTGTTGCAAATTGTATTGCGAGTGTTAGTCTTAAGTCGTTCTGTAACTCGGCAATGTTAATTTTCTGAAACATTGTATTATTAACAAAATATATTTTTTGTAAGGTCAGGTTTGGTTGGGTCAAGTCTTCAGGGGCAAAATAATTAAACATTTCAAAGATTTTGGAATTTACTCATTTCGTATTATAATTTTGATATATAATATATACATTTGTTTTACTTAATATTTTTTTATTATTTTTTATTAAAATACGAAATTCATTTTAATGTATATTTATATATTTGATGAACAATGCGACATTCACGTGTTTTAAGTTCCTCGTGATTTACACACACACACACACACACACACACACACACACACACACACACACACACACACACACACACACACACACACACACACACACACACACACACACACACTCACTCACATATATGAGAGTTAAGTGACGATACTGAATAATTTAACACCCGTTTTCTTTTGCAGAATTCAACATGCCACCTAAAAGTGAGTTACTAGAGCGTCAACTAATGTATATAACCACACTGCCCCGTGACGAATGTACCTTACCTACCCGCACTAGAAACATCATTACTCCACTTGACCCAGGACTTGCCAATTACTCCACTTGACCCAGGACTTGCCAATTACTCCACTTGATCCAGGACTTGCCAATTACTCCACTTGACCCAGGACTTGCCAATTACTCCACTTGACCCAGGACTTGCCAATTACTCCACTTGACCCAGGACTTGCCAATTACTCCACTTGACCCAGGACTTGCCAATTACTCCACTTGATCCAGGACTTGCCAATTACTCCACTTGACCCAGGACTTGCCAATTACTCCACTTGACCCAGGACTTGCCAATTACTCCACTTGACCCAGGACTTGCCAATTACTCCACTTGACCCAGGACTTGCCAATTACTCCACTTGACCCAGGACTTGCCAATTACTCCACTTGACCCAGGACTTGCCAATTACTCCACTTGACCCAGGACTTGCCAATTACTCCACTTGACCCAGGACTTGGTAAACAGCTCACCTACCCCAAGATTTCATCATTCCCTTTTCCACCTATCTAAAAACTTGCCAAATTTGTTTGTTCATCATAGACTTGAAGTTATATGTCAACAGTTGCTCCAGAGAGAGAGTCTAGCACATCTTACCCTTCACTCTGCACCATAGCCCCTTCACGTCCTTGTATAATTTCCGTTATCCGGCCCCAGATATTCCCGTTATCACCTTTCATTGTGTCAAACACCTTGCCACCGAGACTGTGTGCTAGCTAACGTCTGCTCCTGCTCCTCAGGCGACAAGAAGAAGAAAGCCACTGGCAAGGGGGCGCCCGACACTCCAAATGCCGACACCAAAGAACAGCCTACTACAGGTTAGTCCTTCCTCAGGGTTACATAATACATTTAAGTTTTTTCAAGACTTTGAATTAACCACGTGTAGTGGTATCAGATGTGGAATGTCGTTTAGCAATTGTATAACGTCTTTAGATAGGGTCAGGGTGTACAGACATCTTAAGATAGGGTCAGGGTGTACAGACATCTTAAGATAGGGTCAGGGTGTACAGACATCTTAAGATAGGGTCAGGGTGTACAGACATCTTAAGATAGGGTCAGGGTGTACAGACATCTTAAGATAGGGTCAGGGTGTACAGACATCTTAAGATAGGGTCAGGGTGTACAGACATCTTAAGATAGGGTCAGGGTGTACAGACATCTTAAGATAGGGTCAGGCTGTACAGACATCTTTAGATAGGGTCAGGGTGTACAGACATCTTAAGATAGGGCCAGGCTGTACAGACATCTTAAGATAGGGTCAGGGTGTACAGACATCTTAAGATAAGGCCAGGCTATACAGACATCTTACGATAGGGTCAGGGATAGTGATTCTCAACAAGAGGCTCACGTAATATATCTTTAACCTGTCGATTACATAGGACGAGGAACATTATTATTAATTAAATGTTGTGGATCTTCCTCAGAAGGAGGTGTCCGGAAAAGCAGAGGCGGCCATAATGAGAAGGGCAACACCGACAAGTCTAAATAAGGGCCGTGGGCGGTGTCGGCCAGTCAGTTCGCCGACGCCGGGTGTTAGGACGGAGGACCGTGCTGGCTTTCAACACCTGCTGGAGTTGCTGCCGACAGTTGTGGCCTCAACACCTGCTGGAGTAGCGGCTATTGGTCGTGACTTCAACACCTGTTGCAGTAACTGCTGATCTTCGGAGCTTCAGCACCTGCTAGAGCAGCGGTTGACCGTGGTGGCTTCGACACTTACTGGAGTGATGGCTGAATATGTCTTGCTTACACACCTGCTGGAGTGATGGCTGAATATGTCTTGCTTACACACCTGCTGGAGTGATGGCTGAATATGTCTTGCTTACACACCTGCTGGAGTGATGGCTGAATATGTCTTGCTTACACACCTGCTGGAGTGATGGCTGAATATGTCTTGCTTACACACCTGCTGGAGTGATGGCTGAATATGTCTGGCTTACACACCTGCTGGAGTGATGGCTGAATATGTCTGCTTATACACCTGCTGGAGTGATGGCTGAATATGTCTTGCTTACACACCTGCTGGAGTGATGGCTGAATATGTCTTGCCTACACACCTGCTGGAGTGATGGCTGAATATGTCTGGCTTACACACCTGCTGGAGTGATGGCTGAATATGTCTGCTTACACACCTGCTGGAGTGACGGCGCTACTCTTTGTTTTATAATAAATCAATAAACTGTTATAGTTGACCACGAGTTCACTTTAAGGAGTCAAAAGTACTGGCTACAATTTCCACTGTAAGAGGTAATATTATGACTTAATATATTAGTCTTAGTGATTCCCTCCTCCCTGAAGATAGGTAGACTGCATTGTTCTCACTATTAAGTGACACTTATGAAAACTTAGATATTAAGGTTCGAGCATTTAAATAAAATGCAAAATTAAGAGGTTGTATTTATATTCCCTGGAGCTTGGTATTGATATTTGTAGGGTCTTATTTGGTGTGTGTTGAGGTGTTTGGGCACGCGTCTTGGCTCTATTAGGCGTGTTTGCTGATGGTTTGTTGAGTTAAATAGGATTCTTTGTTAGTTTGTTGACATGTTTTAATTGGCGTGTTGCGTCAGTAGTTAAAATGAAAATATTAAAATCCTAATATGTGTAGATGTTTTCTAAATTGAAAACTTTCGCTCAATGTAAAAATTCCTCCGTACCTATGTGAGGTTAACATTATATGCATCCTATGAACACGCTACAAATTCAAATTCAATTTATTATGCACCCCATACCCATCCCGTGGGGGAAAAGGGTTACAGAGGCACATAATGGGTTCAGGAACTGAACCCCAGAGTTCATAGAGCTCAGTGACACTTTTTTTAAGCTAGTTACACAATTGTAAATATTACATATACATATATATATACAATCATATACACAAATACAAATCAAAGGTTGTGTACTCGCACATGAATGGCTAACATGTATATATATATATATATATATATATATATATATATATATATATATATATATATATATATATATATATATATATATATATATATGTGTGTGTGTGTGTGTATATCACGAAAATAAACACGTGATTAAGAATGTGACAATGTCAGACCACGGAGGAAAAATGAAACAGGAAATTTCCTTAAGTACTTTCGTATATTAAATACATCTTCAGAAGGTCTGACATTGTCATATATATATATATATATATATATATATATATATATATATATATATATATATATATATATATATATATATATATATATATATATATATATATATATAAACCGAGAAGTGTATCTAGCGTTTGAATATGCACTGACGTCGATTCAGCGTTGGAAATAAGCTTCTCTAGCTCTTATATCTACATTTGAAACTGTGTATGGAGTCGGCCTCCACCACATCACTGCCTTGGATATTGTGTCCAGTGGGAGGCTTGCGGGTTGGTCTTGACTGGCTTGGGAGACAGCACCAAGCACTCATCAGCCCGTTTTCTTCATTTATCCCCATAAAGTAACCAGAACTCCCTCTAAAATATCGAGTCCGATGCACAGAAAATGGAGATAGTAGTGAGCCGTTAATTTCCACAGTAGGATGTAACGTCGTGTACCGTAACGTTAAAAACGCGACCTATTGACAGGTTACGAAATATACGCTGACTCGACCGATAAATCCTGGGATTGTTATAGCGTATAGACAGCCTACTGTCTCAGTTCTATATTTGCAGACTCGCCCTAAAGTGCCCATACTATAGCTACTCAACCACTCACTAGTTATACACCTACAGAAACACTATAGTTACACAACCACACAACCACGCTATACTTACACATCCACACAATAATTACACAACCGCGCTAGTGTCACACAGTCACGGTCCCTGGTCCGGGGCAGCAGTGGGTCATGTGCAAAGCAACAAGTGCTTACGCGGAGGAGCTGCCGACGGGCGCCCCACAACACATTCCTCGTGGCAGCACCGTGGGAGATGGCTCGCTTCGTTACAACACTAGGTGTTGCATAGACCATTATACTACGGGTTGCACAGGTTGCAGGAGCAGCCATCACAGTGCAAATGCCAGTTGCTTTAATGTCTTTCTGGCCCTCAGATATGTATACTGTATCATTATGGCCCTCAGATATGTATACTGTATCATTATGGCTCCTCAGATATGTATACTGTATCATTATGGCTCCTCAGATATGTATACAGCATCATTATGTCCCTCAGATATGTATACTGTATCATTATGGTCCTCTAATATGTATACTGTATCATTATGGCCCTCAGATATGTATACTGTATCATTATGGTCCTCAGATATGTATACTGTATCATTATGGTCCTCAGATATGTATACTGTATCATTATGGTCCTCAGATATGTATACTGTATCATTATGGTCCTCTAATATGTATACTGTATCATTATGGCCCTCAGATATGTATACTGTATCATTATGGTCCTCAGATATGTATACTGTATCATTATGGTCCTCAGATATGTATACTGTATCATTATGGCCCTCAGTTTACAATGTATGTGTTTTCATGTATAACAGAATGTGTATACATGATAAATACAATGTTTAACTGTAAATATATGTCATGGATTTTTCCCATTTTTTTCCCAAGAACAATGAATAAATTATTATTTATACAATTCAATAAATGAAATAAAAACAATCAATGACGTACAAACCACATTTTGCGCGCCAATTTCAAGTAATAATGATCAGGTAACCGCATCAAAATGTCAATGTTTAATACAAGATATAAACAAATAAATTGCGTCAGAACAACGTAATGTGAAATGGGTGTATTGTGCAGTTTGTCATGGGTGTGGGTGTAGACATGGGTGTGGGTGTAGACATGGGTGTAAACATGTATGTGGGTGCATTCTTAACCGAGTTTTCACAGGTCTTTGCTACTTGAATCATTTGATAATTTACCCGATGGCAATTCAGCCCGTTGTCTCTAAATTGACCGAACCTAACCGATCCGAAGACCCACGAAAAGAAAACAGGATTTCACATTAATTTGGTGAGCCGCTATCAATTTTAAATTTTGCCCCGAGGGGCGAGTTTATTGGGCAGCGCCACTCATCTTGTGAGTGGACATACCGCCATAGTGACAGTATTGGGCAGGGCCACTCATCTTGTGAGTGGACATACCGTCATAGTGACAGTATTGGGCAGGGCCACTCATCTTGTGAGTGGACATACCGCCATAGTGACAGTATTGGGCAGGGCCACTCATCTTGTGAGTGGACATACCGCCATAGTGACAGTATTGGGCAGGGCCACTCATCTTGTGAGTGGACATACCGTCATAGTGACAGTATTGGGCAGGGCCACTCATCTTGTGAGTGGACATACCGCCATAGTGACAGTATTGGGCAGGGCCACTCATCTTGTGAGTGGACATACCGTCATAGTGACAGTATTGGGCAGGGCCACTCATCTTGTGAGTGGACATACCGCCATAGTGACAGTATTGGGCAGGGCCACTCATCTTGTGAGTGGACATACCGCCATAGTGACAGTATTGGGCAGGGCCACTCATCTTGTGAGTGGACATACCGCCATAGTGACAGTATTGGGCAGGGCCACTCATCTTGTGAGTGGACATACCGCCATAGTGACAGTATTGGGCAGGGCCACTCATCTTGTGAGTGGACACACCGCCATAGCAGCTTGTACAACACTCCCCAATAGGAAGAAAACCCGCTGGGTTGTTCATCCTGTGCCGCTATCAATGTTTAGTACATCAGTTGTTAGCCTTAGGGGAAATTATACATACAAATGCGATGCATTATTAAGGAGAGAGCAGAGCTTTAGTTGCGTAGTTTTTATTAAACCGATTAAAAACCTGATTGTATCTGTTACGTTATAATTTATATATTTTACGTTCGTACTCTTTATCTAATCTGGCTTTAAAGTTGAGGATCGAGTCTCCCAGATGGAGTACATGATGAAAGGGGGACTCCCCCCCTCTCCTGGGGTGGGGCACGACACCTGTCTGCCCTCGTCAACAAACCAGATTACTGTGTCGACATCAAAGTGTCGGAATCTCTTGCTAAAGAACCAACTATCAACTTAATTCGAGAAAGAACTGAACTGAAGAATATCAGGATACCCAGTGGGTAAGAAAATCCACGCAGCCTTATCGAATAACCAATCCCAACCAATTGGTCAGTCTCCGTGGTGTAGTGGTAAGACACTCGCCTGGCGTTCCGCGAGCGCTATGTCATGGGTTCGTATCCTGGCCGGGGAGGATTTACTGGGCGCAATTCCTTAACTGTAGCCTCTGTTTAACGCAACAGTAAAATGTGTACTTGGATGAAAAAACGATTCTTCGCGGCAGGGGATCGTATTCCAGGGACCATAGGATTAAGGACTTGCCCGAAACGCTACGCGTACTAGTGGCTGTACAAGAATGTAACAACTCTTGTATATATCTCAAAAAAAAAAAAAAAAAAAAAAGTCCAGGATAATCGACAAACTGAAAAATGAAATTAAAACCAACAACAATCCACACCTCCACAAACTCGAAAAAACCTAAACAAACGCCTGGAATATGTGGCAAGCTTAAATGTGAAATTTCAAACTGAACTCCAATAACAGCAGCAAGAAACAAAGAAGTTATTTCATGACTCGAGAACGATAACGCCGACGTAGCCTAGCAATTATGCAGCGCCGGACGCCGACGTAGCCTAGCAAGAATGCAGGGCCTGACGCCCACGTTAACCAAGAACTGCTTCACGGGGGACCAGCTCACAATGTCAACTAGAGGAGACTGATGGCATACTGTGGTGTCATCTCGCTGAAGCTGCAACACACTGAAAAAAACTGAATTACAGCATTGACCCCAAGGGACACATAATGGCTACACAGACCTTGTCTTTATTTCACCCCGCTTTTTATTCATGTGCAATTGATGTTCTCGGGCGAATTTGTAATATTGAAGGTTTTTTAATGATGAACAGCAAAAGAGTGTATAATATTCTGCTCCCACATATAGTTCCTAGAGTAGAGGAGACATATCCACTAACTTGAGAGTAATATGGACAAATCTTCATGTTAAATTTATTGCCCCAAAACAACGTGAGGTATTGTATCACTATATTCATGAGACCCTCCCTACTACGTTGTTAATGTTGTATATTAACAACAATAGGTGTGAATAACGTACTGAAATTGAGAATAATATGCATATATTTTATTTTTGTAAGCAGAAAGTTGTTCTTGTAAACTGGATTAGAGACACTCTTAAAACTTTATGTGGACCAAGTATTAGAGTGGAGTTAATGAGGTTTTTAATGTTTCATATTGACACAAAATGCAAGAAAATTAAAAATACAATAATTATGTTACTTTCTGATTACATTTGTGTGTGGATAGGCAGGCAGGAGGGTTACTGTGTGTGGATAG